CTGCGTAAAAGGCTCTCCTTAATCTTCGTCTAACCCAAACTCTGGCAGCGAGGGTCAATCATGGCACAGCATGATTGACCGTTGAGTGGGTAATGTCGATCCACCCGAACTTTGGCAGACGACTCCTCGATCCTCTTTTTTGTGTCCCTTGGTTGAGTGGTGCTCCTTTCGATGCGATGTTGATACTCGGGTGATTGGAACCTAACCAATAGGTGCAAACACAATGCGAGCCCAAACGCATGAGGCAAAACGAACTCTCCTAGGCCATCCCCCTGTTCATACCCCAGCTTTTTTGGCACATCAAAAAGTGACTGCTCACATCACGGCCAGCTCTCGTCCTTGATTTGTTTCAGGGAACACCGGTTGGCATCTTCTTTCTTGTATGGGGTTGCACTCAATTCCGACCATGTCCTGGCTCGCCTCTCTTTCCGCCCCCTTTCTGTTCTGTCGCTTTTCACTGGTCTGACATGTGCTTATCACGTTTTATGAGTGTCTCTGTCGACTACTATCTGCCGCACCACCATATGGGCGTTGACGGCCGTCCCCATCTTCATCCGAGCAGCATGGCGGGGTTGGAAGGCGGCTTTCGCGCCTCTTCTTTACTTTTTTTTTCCGGTGTGTGCTGAGGGCGTCCTTTCGTACATGAGCACACACGACATACACGCTTTCCAAAGATCTGCGCCTAAATAAAGTGTCAAAATATCAGACGTCTGGGGGAGGCGGAAGCCGTTGACTAGTGACATGCGTGAAACTGTTCCCGAAGCGGGTCGAATGAACATCTTTACTCATCATGGCATCATTGCTCTCACTCGAAAGCTACTAGCACGCATGGCAGTGTTAACCCAGGCACACACCATGTCCCGCACATCAAACACGTACTGTCCATCTACAAGCTACTAGCTACCAGCTCCCATTGACGACGCCTCTCTGATCCAGGGCGCAGCTGATCCCTCTTTTTTTAACCCCCATCTAACTCCATGGCTGACTCGTTGTGTCGTCAAGCCCGATGTCATGGGTTGTGCCCCCCCCAGTACACTAAAACGATGAAGTTTTGGAGTAAGCAAGTAAAATAACAGCCCATTGTTTCTCTCTGCTGGGGTAAACCCGCCCAAAAAGCAATATCACATCTGGGGAAAAGGGGGTAAAATGCGGAGGGAGGGGGGAGGGGCCAGCAAGCGGCTGAGAGCCATGCGCCGAGCTGGTTTTTGTTGCTCCGAACCGGGCGAGGAATCACACCGATTTGGTGTCAAGAGGCTACGAAATGGATGTCTCCCTGTTTATTGTGATTCTACTGTGTGTCCGTAAAGCTGCCCTTTTTTTTTTTTTCTGTCTTCGATCACATCTCGAGTCTTGTACTGCTTGATTGGTCTGTGACACATATTGAATGACACCCCTCCATCTCGGCTGGGTGTATGTGTGTAGTAGCACACCATCCAGTTAAACCTCGTCTCTTTCTAGTCTTTCCCTTTAGCAAAAGAGACGGTGCGGTGCCTTCGTCCGCATTCCCTACCTTCTCCGCAAAACCCGACGCAACCCGCCCCCCTCTCGGGTTTTGATGTCTCGTTTTGAGGGGCCTGGATTGGTTCGAAGGCTTCCATCTTATCATTGATGCTGTTAAGGTGTGTGTGTGTGTGTGTGTGTGTGTGTGTGTGTGTGTGTGTCTAGTCGGTCTCTCGACTAATAAGAAAGGGCCGCTTTCGGTGTGACAGACTTTTGTTGTAGCAGTATAGACACCTACCCTGTGAACCAGACTTTTGCTTACTTTGGGAGGCACACACATACACTACTACTATGTCCATCAAAGCCCGGGTCGATCATTCTCACCTTGAGATGCATGACTGCGGCGCAGCAGACCTTGCCCGGCCAACCTGCTGCCCTGTCCTTTACCCCCTCCTGCTCCTCCTCCTCCTCCTCCTCCTCCTCCCCCCCCCTTTTTAGGTCTCTTCACCCCGCCAGTCCGCGGAAACCTGGGAGACGGTTCGGTGAAAGAGCACAGCTGGCTGGCTGGCTGGCTGGCCTGATGGTCGGTTCGGTGACCGCCGTCAAGCTTGGGCCAGAGCCCGAGGTGTGTGTGCTGGTGTGTACTCAGCCAGCCTCTTGGTGGTTGGCCCAGGTTCCTCACCTCCTGCACGTCATCCCATTATTTTTCCCGCTCGTTGGAGTATAGACGTGGTTGGCTACCGGTTTTTGGGACAAAGGAAGGGGCCTTAAAGGAGGTTCTCTTTTTTTTTATTTCTTTTGGTGTTAGTCTGGGATGCTGCTTTACTCTTTACTAGTATTAATCCCAAATCATCGTAGTCTACAGCCCTTTCGGTCCCTGCAGATTGATTGCTAGGGGGGAATGGTCGGCCGAGCTGGGTTGTAAGTGGATGGTGAGATTTTCAAGTGTAAAGACTGGCTTCATGTCCTATTACGGATTATCTTGGAGGTATCAAAGTAACCCTCGAGGAAAGGGAGAAACACACACACAAACACACACACACACACACACACACAGACAACAACCCTGCTTATTTTCCTCGTCTCTTTATTTTGTCATCGATGGAAAAACAAAAATCAGGCTTGAGGTTCGCATACATGTGATCGAAGGGGGTCCCCCCCCGTAAAAGTAAGTAATACGGAGGACCACCATCACTGATAATCCCATCACATCACCATTTCGGTCCCCTCGAACCCCCCCCCCTTTTCCGAGCGGATGTCTCGGTGCGAACACGGGACAAAATAACTCGAGCGGCCGCGTTGGATTCACGTGCGATAAAAAGTTTCCGGGTCGTTCTCGCGTCGCGTAAGCAATCTACATCATCGCCCTTCGCCCTCTCTCTCTCGTAAGGTTCACGTAAGGGGGGGAGGGGGGGAGTAAGAAAATCGGGGGAAAACTACTACAGACAGACAGTATAAGACAATTAAGGTGAATTTTTAGCAAGACCCGATCTTGGATACTTGACTACCTGCGCGAGCGCGCGCGCGCGCGTCCTGCAGCCACACCTTTTTTTTCTAATGGTCTCCCTTTCCTTGACTGTTTGCCTTCGCATGTCTTTGTCCAAGGCTCTTGTGTGACGACGTTTTTAATGCGGCAGGGTCTTGATAAGGGTAGGTTTTTTGTGTGGCAGGTGAAAAAGGTGGATGGTGAGTCAAAAGGTTTGTGGCGAAGGGACAAAAAGGGAAACAAATGAAAGCCGGTTTTTTTTTTTTCCTCGTTTGCGTGTATGTGTGTCTATGTCTTTTTGGTGTTGTATCTTTGGGGGGCCGATTACGAATGACTTTGATGTCGTGTGATTGGAGATGTCTCAGTTTGTTACCACCCCCCTTCCCCCCTTCTTTGATATCAATCATGTTTCCCTTTCCTCCCGTGATGGGAAAGTTGAAATGTCGATGATGCGTAGTTTCTTGTTTTTGTGGTGGACATCCATGAGAAACTTGAAAAATGCGACGCTGGGTTGAATGCTCCGGAGATCGCTTCGGTAGTCGACGGGGAGGGGGAGGATGGATGGATGTTTGTTGGTGGGTGGGCAGAACATATCTCTCTCCCTCCCTCTCTTTCTCTCTGTGTACTATGCACTTAGAAGGCCCGAAAGATATCCGTCGTCAAGGCGACTTTCGTATCGTGATGGACAGTTGCCGACACACCACCTTCAGCGGTTCTCGTTGCACTTGGGAAAATGTGTCTTGGGGGTTTGCTTGCCTGTGCCTGGCCGTGGCGCGTGATGTCGCAGGCAAAGATTTGGGTTACGGGATGGAATGTGAGGCCGGCGGCTATCGAATTCTCGTGTAAAGAAGGGTAAACGTGTGAATACCGCTACATACCCTTCCGTTTTCGTAAAAAAAGTGTTGAGGCGCGAATGTCTCGGGGGCGGAGTAAACGGCCTGGCCTGTCACAGGCCCCGAAGAGAGATGGGCAAGGTGTCTTCTTCTTCTTCTTGTTCTTTCTCTTCTACTCTTCCGACTTCTTCCTGTTTTCTCCCCCTTTTTTCGCATGTTTCTCCGTGGTGTCATTCTCCCTTCATCGTGTTCCGGACCCTGAGACACTGCGATCGATAGGGGTGGAGGGCTTTTTGTTGTTTTCGACTTGTGATATGGGGGATTTAGGCAGGTGATTGTGGGCTTATTTGAGTTTTCGTTTATTGTGTCTTGGATGATGGCCTGTGACGGGTATCTCTCGGAGTTGGTGGGATGGTTTATCGTTGGGTTGGTGGAGTTGAGGGTTGGTTTTGCTTGTGATGGTGATGGGCGCTGAGGTAAGGGGTTGAGGTTTCTAATGGTAAGGTAAGTGAGAATGGGATTACAGGGTCTGGGATGGAGCCCTGATCTTGCGTGTTACGGTTTCCTTCGTTGCTATCAGGAGTTAGGGGCCTCCAGACTGGTGTATCGTGAAGAGACGCAGGCACTGATTGAGTGAGTGGATGATCATGAGAATCTGTCAATAGGGCCAAGGCTGATGGTTAGATACTCTATTATGGTGTCTGTATGTCGCTATATCCACAGTAGTATGTCCTGTTGTACAGTATATCGCCGTCTTCTAAATATCGTACATTGTCGCCAGAGTCTTGATACGAACCTGCCGACATGCTACTATGCCTGCGTCCTCCCCAGGACGGAGTTCAGCCATCCACCAACAGTCGAGGCGTCTTCCTGAGCCAGACCGCCGGCACGGAGGTGCTGCGTCCAGTCGCCCAGCTCCCATATTTGGGATTTGAGCATTGATTCTGAGAGCGTATGGTCGCGAATTGATGGCAAGCCCTCCAGGGAGAACTTCTGGATCTGGCCGTGGCGGGCTTCGAAGCTGAGGTTGAACTAAAAACACGTTAGTTTGCGTACTTATCGCTATAATATATATACTAAAAACGTGTTCTTACCTTGCCCGGCAGCTCAGGACGTTCTCTCGTATCCTCCTCCGTCGGGTGCGTGGAGAAGGTAAAGAGCGGCGTCTGGCCGTAAATCCATTCTCGGGACTGTCACGAAATCACATTAGTCTCATCCTTCTTCGAAGCACCGTAAAGACCTCAAAGCCAGTGGTAACTCACCTTCAGCTCCCTGATGCCCTTCTTCACACTCTCCACCTGCTCCGCCTCCGCCTCCCCGAGCACGGCCTGGACGTCGAAAGAGCCGTACATACGCCCAAACTCGTCGACCACCGCCTCCTCAAACTTGCTAGTGTCTTCGACGCCGACGTTGCGAATCTTTGAGCGCACGCTCTCGACGCCGCGGCCCTTGATGAAAGGCTCTGCGGGCGAGCGGAGGAAGCTGCCGATCCGCGACATGTTTGGGGAGGAAAGGAGACAGGTTCCGTGGTGAAGGGATCGAAGGCGGGTCAGTTTGTACGCCGAACCAGATATCTTGTACGTGTTTTCCGCGTTTGCGAGCGGCTTCCCTGTACACGAGGACAGTGGTATCGGTGAAGTTGCAGAAGGGTCGACCATAATGATGTCGTGACGGCAGTTGACGCTTACACTGTCAACGCCCAGATTGCGAAGAGCGCGCACGACCATCTCGGCGTGTGTGTCACGGTCGAATTTGGCGGGCGGGCAGATGACGGAGTAGTTGACGTTGCCTTCGTCGTGGAAGACAGTTCCGCCTCCGCTGCGGCGACGGACGAGGTTGACGGCATCGTCGCTGCCGTCGAGGGACTGAAGCAGTGGAAGGTTGACTTCTAACCAAGGGTTCTGATTGCGACCAATGACAATACTAGGGCGGTTGGTGTAGAGAAACAGTACCGTTGAGTCGGACGGGGTGTTTTGGAGGAGGTGATGCTCGATGGAGAGGTTGATGTAGGGAGACCGCGAGTTGGAGATGTAGACCTGGGTTTTGGAGGACGGGTTTGCGGCGAGAGCAGAGAAAGGACGAAGCCTTGCTGAGGTTCTCAGCCGTGGAATGGCCCGGGTTATGGGGCGTATGGCAAACATTGTGAGATTTGGCGTAGACTGGTGAGATGTGAATGATGCTTTCACGATGACATTTCGCGTGTACCCCTGTAAGAGTCCGGTGAGATATATCCGGTCTTTGGACGCCTGGAATACTCAAATAAGGAGTCTTAGTACTATTTAGCTTATTAGAAATAATTTTCCGGCAGTTTTAGACCATATACGCACCTTATTGCCTGACATACACCCCAATCACGACGTGATGAGTGAGTGTTGAGATGAGGTTGAGAGATTGCATCTATCAGAATTTCTCCCCCGACGACAGCATCATCCCTGTAACTAAATCCCCACCCTATTATCGGGGCCATGCTTATAAACCAAACCAACCCCTCCACCCCGCATTGGTTGACTTTTTGGATTGACTCACCGAACATCGGCCCAGATTTTCCAACTTACACTACCTCATCCTATATCGCAGCTCAAAATGTCGACGTTTGGCAATTACTTCAAGGTCACGACGTGCGTCACTTCCGGAAAATTCCCCAATTCGTGGCCAATGGACTAACATAATTGCTCCGCAGCTACGGCGAGTCCCACGGCAAGTCCGTTGGTGTCATTGTCGATGGCGTCCCGCCCGGCATGGCTCTCACCGAGTCCGACATTCAGCCCCAGCTCAACCGCCGCCGCCCCGGCCAGAGCGCCATTACTACGCCCAGAAACGAGAAGGACCGCGTCGTCATCCAGAGCGGTACCGAGTTTGGCGTCACCCTCGGCACCCCGATCGGCATGATCGTCCAGAACGAGGACCAGCGGCCCCGCGATTACGGAAACTCCACCATGGACATGTACCCCCGCCCCTCCCACGCCGACTGGACCTACCTTGAGAAGTACGGCGTCAAGGCCAGCTCCGGTGGTGGCCGCTCCTCCGCCCGCGAGACCATCGCCCGTGTCGCCGCCGGCGCCCTCGCCGAGAAGTACCTGCGCGAGGCCTACGGCACCGAGATCACCGCCTTCGTCACCAGCGTCGGCAACGTCCACCTCTTCCCTCCTACCCCCGAGCACCCGACCCCCTCTACAAACCCTGCCTTCCTGTCGCTCCTCAACACCATCGACCGCAAGACCGTCGACGAGTTCCTCCCCGTACGCTGCCCGCACCAGGAGACGGCCGACAACATGATGAACGTCATCAATGACTTCAAGGAGCGCGAGGACAGCATCGGTGGCACCGTCACCTGCGTCATCCGCAACCCGCCCTCCGGCCTGGGTGAGCCCTGCTTCGACAAGCTCGAGGCGACGCTCGCCCACGCCATGCTCAGCATCCCCGCCACCAAGGGCTTCGAGATCGGCTCCGGCTTCGGCGGCTGCGAGATCCCTGGCTCCACGCACAACGACGCCTTCATCAAGGCCCCCGAGAGCGAGATCCAGGCCGCTGGCCAGCGCATGGGCATCCCTCGCTCCAAGCTGTCCACCAAGACCAACTTCTCTGGCGGTATCCAGGGCGGTATCTCCAACGGTGCGCCCATCTACTTCCGCATCGCCTTCAAGCCCCCCGCCACCATTGGCCAGGACCAGACGACTGCTACCTACGACGGTTCAACCGAGGGTGTTCTGGCTGCCAAGGGTCGCCACGACCCCTGCGTCGTGCCCCGCGCCATTCCCATTGTTGAGGGCATGGCTGCCATGGTTCTCATGGACGCGCTCATGGCACAGCACGCGAGACAGCTGACGAGAAGTCTGCTGCCGCCTGTGAAGAAGGAGGCATAAGTGGGTAGGAAGCGGGATGTGTTGTAAATAATGGCATTTAAAAAAAAGCAATTCATGATAGATTCCCTTTTTCGGTCATTGATGTTAACTAAAGAAAACACAGTCTTACATGCTGCTTGGTGACTCTTCTACAGCTCTTCAGTTGCGTCTTGCGTCTTTGCTGTCTTGACAAGGTGGAACTCTTCCTGACGGCCGTACACCCACTGCCATCCCTTCTCCTCGCCAGCCCAGTACACGTCCTCCTCAAGGGCAAACCAAAGCGTCTGGTTCCTTTCGGGAACGTAGTGCTCCACGAGCAACTCGACGCTGAACCACATGTTTTGAACCGCAGCCAGTTCGCCCGAAACTGCGACGTAGTCTTGCATGTTGGTCATGCCTATACAAAGTCAGTTTATGCTTCTAAAACACAGTCGTCAGGTTGCTCACCGATCAAAGGTCCTGCAGCATGTCCCCAGTCCCCGATGGGATGAGAGTAAACGCGGCCCCGGATACCATCCTTGTGCATCTCCTCCAAAGAGGCCTTGAGCATCTCGTTTCCCGTCTTGCCAACGGCGATGTTCTTCCTCACAATATCCTGCAGTCTATTTCCCTTCTTCAGACCCTCCTTCAGCGATTCAGGAACGTCCTTCTCACCGGGACGCAAAACGTATCCCAAATGTTGCGTATCAGTGTTCAACCCCATCGCCGTGAGCCCAAAGTCGACGTGCAACATATCGCCATACTCAATAACCCTTCCTCCGACGCCCGCATCTACGCTTCGCTCCATCTTCATGACCCACGGCAGCGACTCATCGACAACGCTCACACTAGGATGGAACCACGTCGAGAAGTTATGCGCCTGGATCTCTTCCCTAAGCCACCACTCCACGTCCTCCGTAGTGGTCTTTCCAGGGACGACCACCTCCTCGCTGAATGCGCGCGCAATCATCGCCCACGCCGTTTCCATGATCTCCTTGTACCGCGGCAGCTTCGCATATGGCTGAGACGCGATGTACTCGACGGCAATCTCAGGCTTGACGACCATCCGCCGCGTCCAGTCACCGCCGAGACCGCTGATCATGGCTTGGTACTCGCCGGCATGTAGACCGCTCGCGAAGGCGATTTCAGGGTGCGCATTGATGGCGATGGTCGCGGGGTTCGCTGCTTCCAGCTGCTCTTTCAGAGTCTCCCAGACGTCGCTGACCCAGCCTATGATGCATCCCGGCTGCTTCGGGAGAGAGGCGGCGGACTCTGCCAGGAACAGACATGTCGTGCGGCGCCGTGCGGAAAAGGTCGTTGCTGGTTTGAGGGACCAAAAGACCGTTTCCTCGGCATACTCGCGCTGGCTTATCTGCGGGTGGAGTCAGATGTAGTCATGAATGTGTTGTACATAGTGTGTGGAGAGGTGAGTGAGACGGACCAGCCATGCGTCAACGCCGTGTTTCTTGAGGAGAGCGGGGATTGCGGCTTTCCGCTCCTCGGTCCACGCATCCTGGACGCGGGCTTGTTCGCGGAGCGGAGGGAGCGGGTTGTACTTTGGTTTGGGGTCACCTAAGGCTGGCTGGCAGAGCAGGGCTGCCGCCGGGATGAGTGGGACGAGCCAATGCATTGTCACTGGGCCTTTTTGAATGAAGCCGTGATTTCACGATGAAAATACTCACGATTGAATGAGGTTGGAGAGGGATAAAGGATGCAAAAGGTGAAATCGGATGACGTCCAAAACCCCGTTTGAGACATGAACCCCCCATGTCCGTGTCAATGTCAGCATCTCATCTATTCCCGGAAAGGAAGCTCAGATGTCAAAACTCTGAATCCTACGCTGCATGGATGCTGATCCCCGCTTCGGTGAGATACGTTCACCGAGGGCATGTTGAATGGGATCTCAATTGAAGGTCTAGTTAGTTAGATATTGTAAGCAGTTCTGCACTTACACGTTCACCCCATCATATGTGTTTTCTAGCTCTTGGGCGGTGAAAGAATACAACAAGCGCCAGATAAGCAGAGATACGCATGTGATGAGTAATAAACCACTGGTCAAGGTGAACAGCTTGGTCATAGCTTTGAAAATATTGAAAAAATACGGGATGTGTTATTCTAGTCCAGGTGAATACGAAGATATGCTCCTCAGAATCCACAGTCTATTCCGTGTGCCGTCCTCCCCCGGTTGCTCTCCAGGCAACTTTGGCCCCACTTTTGCGCAATCATGATCCATATACTCGTTGAAGCGAATTCTATCTATCGTTAAGTCTTGTGTGCTAGTGTACATTAAATGAACTTATAGCCTATGGGCTAAAGCTGAGGTGCAGAGCACCATCCTGTGAAAGTCGTCGTTTTTGGACAAAAACTTCCGCAGGAGTAATACATAAGTGATGTGGTATAAATAAAGGGCTGCTGACCAAACTTGCAGCTCGTATTTGATCTGTTGTGTGTGTTAGTAAGGGCGGGCTCAACTAAGGGAATCATTGGGTGGATAAGGCTTACGAAGTTGTTCCCAGTTTCGCGCATGAAACCATCCCCAATCCTTGTCATGATACTGATTCTTCCCGATTCCCTCGGGTGCCCATGCTTCGTTGTACTGCCATCCTTCAAGAATGGATCGTCCTGATGTTCGTATACCTTATGTCCCCTCCCATGCTCGTATCAGACCACGCCGGCAATGAACATGCTAGCAAGGGCAACAACCATGTACACAGCCGCGCGGTCCTTGGATACCAGTGCCGTGGCGGCGGACTTGTCACCGCCGTTGGCGGTGCTCTTGGGTCCATCGCCAGTCTGCGTGGGTGTGGGGTTCGGGTCGTCGACGTGCAGCGCCTTGGTGCTTCCAACCCAGGCGTTCCAGTTGGTCAGGTTGTTGGGACAGCTGGTCAGGATCTTCTTGCCCTCAATCTTGGCGATCTCGGTGCCGTACTTGGTCATGGTGATGACGACATCGCCTCCCTCGGTGAAGGGCACACTGCCGTGGTACACCCCCTTTCCACCGTCAGGGGTAGCGGTCCAGCTGCCCTTTTGCGACTTCCCGTTGACGGACACTGTGACCTCGGCCGCGGAGGTGAGGAGGGCGGAGAAGAAGATTCTATCCTGGACGACCTGGGACACGGCGATGGTGCGCTGCGACTGGCTGGCGGAGTTGGCAACCGTGCCACCGTCACCGCATGCGAGGGCCGGAGAGCCGCGGTACCACGCCATGAAGCCTTCTTCTGTGATGGTGGCTGCTATGGCGCCCTTGTAGGTGTCGATGAGGTAAGGGAGGAACTGGCGCCAGCCGTCGTGGGGGAGGTCGAGGGCGTAGTTGAAGGGGGCTTCACCGACCTCGAAGGCTTCGAGGGCATTAGTGCGGACGGGGCCGATGTGATGGGACTCGCCGTAGTCGTTCCAAGAGATGATTTGAACGAAACTGTTTCTCGTTGATTAGTGTCACGAAGTTGCTTGATGGAATAGGGGTTACACACGCTGGCTTCTTGTCCAGGACTTGAGCCCAACGGTCATACCAAAGGTCATCACCACGCCAGACCCAGTTCTTCTTGTATCCGGGGAGGTTGGTGTAAAACCAGGGCGAGACGGGCATCATGTAGGGCTTTCCCTTCAACGCCGAAATGTAGGCATCGTCGCCCTTGGTGTCCATGTTCTTGTCGCCAACAGGCCAGGCGTTCCAGCTGAATAGACCATCGGCGACGCCATCAGCGAGAGCGAGAGCCTCTTCCGGTGAGACGGATGACCAGTCAGGGATGAAGAAGGCGCCCGTCTTCTCCTTGATCTCGATCCAGTCCTTTGCGTTTTCGGTGCCCTCAAAGGTAGATACCACGGGCTTGTCGGCGTACTTGAAGTACTCTTCGTGCTTGAAATACTTGTCTGCCATCTCGAGGATGGTCTCCTTGGGCCAGGGCTTACCACCGTGGTAGCCACCGAGGTAGTCGAAGGAGAAGAACAGATGGAAACCGACCTTGGCGGCGGCGGTAAAGGCATCCTCTAGGGCCTCGGGGGTATGAGGGTCCGTCAAGCCCATGTTGAGGGCGAAGGCGTCGATGTGTGAATCCTTGGCAAGCTTGAAGTCATCTTCAAAGTCACTCAGAGTATAGTTCTTGGTGTTGATGAGCTACGGGGGGAATGTTAGCAAGGATTTGATGATGATATGAATGAGATTTTGTATAGTACCATGAAGTGAGCGATGACAGCTGCGGCTTGGACCTGAGTTATTGTGGCCAGGAAGCCCGCAAGAACACTGAGAAACTTCATCGTCACGTAGTGGCGTGAGCCAAAGTTGAACAATAGTAAACTTGACAATCGAGGGCAGGCTTTGTATAGCGTGGGGAGGTAGAATTTGCAACGATGAAAGAAGACCAACAAAGAAATCTCCCGAGAAAGCAAAACAGCAGACAATGGCATTATGTATCATGCCTCCACCTCATTCTCCCTCACTCGAGGGCCCAAAATTAGGCACACCATGCAGTCTCTGACTATAGAGACCGACAAGCGGCGTGCGTTTGCCGCGCACATTACGGGTATTGTGTGCCTTACCTGAGCCCCCCTGGCATGGCGACTGACCTGACTCCATCGTGAGGGCTCCCAAGTAGGCAGTTAGTGAGCCAACAGTAGGTGGCGCATGCGGCTCGATACCCTCGCACCCATACTCTTGCTGTCAGAGAGAAGAATGGGAACCCTCCGTTCCTGCAGGGGTGAGTAAGGCCGCTTGCCACATACGGCAAGCTGTGAATACCACGGGGGTACGCGCTGCGAGACGTCGTTGGTTGTCTTTTGGCCGAGAGAGTGAGTGGATCGTGCTTCGCAGCCGTTTGGTGTGTGTCGACTGTGACTTCGTGCCTGCTGTGCCGCCGCACTGCGGCGCGAAAAGAATTCTGACTGCGGGCCAAGATAGACAGCTTTGCCCGAAGCCGCTTATGCCTTACATGGGAAATTGCTTTGCCCGGTGTATCTTACTCCGCGGCTGTTATAAAAAAGCGCAATGTGGCATATCAATATTGAAGTTCCTCTTCTCAGTGGGTGTTGAATGATGTCTTCATATTCAATGACATGAGGTTCAGGTACGGGATATTTTGTTACATCGATCTGGACCTCAAGTAAGAAGGGATCGGCAGTATAGACGCCATAGAAGCCTTTACGCGGAGATCTTTCAGTGTTTCGAGGCTCGGATACCCTCGTCCAAACGTTGCTTGGTAGTATCTAGCCGTTGCCGACACCCTGTCACCCTGCCATCAGACTCGCCCGACATCTTAAGCTTGTATGAAGCAGACCAGGGTCTCTCTATGGCCAGCCAGCCGGAGACTGCCGGACAACCTACCGAATCCTTCGCTAGCGGTTCCTCGCGCAACCATACTCACAGTCGCAATCTGTGGGCGAAACCAGCACAGAACGCTCAGAATGGGAAAAGTGGTGTTGTTGGTTGGAAGAACTAACTAACTGGCTAGAGGGCTGTGGAGGCTGGCTAAGACCAGTGGTGGCGGCCGTCAGCCCACGTGACGGGCCGGCGAGGCCTGCCACCCACACCCCCTCTCAGACTCCTCAGCGAAAAAGCAGTAGAATAATAGGAAATACAGGAAAAGTCCCAAATCCTCCAAATCCGAGGAGTTCTCAACTATTAGAAAACTCGGTCAATTACCGGTTAAACCTGGCCAATAGGAGGCCGTGAAATCCTCCGAATCCCGAAGTCTCAATATCAATAGTCCCACAGTCTCAAAATCCCCCTCTCAATCCAATCCCTCCGCCATGCCCAACAAACGAACGAATTCCTTGTGTTTGACCGCAACCAGTGGCTTCGTGAGTCCATCGGCGGCCATATCAGCGCCCTTGATGAGTCGGAGTTCGATGCTTTTCGCAGTGTGAACCTCCTGTATGATCCATTTGTATCGGACGTCGATGTGGCGGGTTCGTGCCTCGTTGAGTGGGTTCATGACGTTGTCGTAGCCGTTGGCACTGTCAGTGAACATGATAGTAGGCGTGGTGATGGGTTTGCCGAGCAGTTGGGAGAGGCAACGTCTGATCCACTTCACAGCAATTGCCGTAGGTGTGAGATTGATGAATTCAGCCTCCGTGGTGCTCAAAGTCACGAAAGTCTGTTTCTTTGACTTCCAAGCAATCGGCGCACCAGCGAGGAAGACGACGTAACCACCTGTCGAGACTCGTGATGGCTTGTTGTCAGCGAAAGAGGCATCTGCAGCAGCGTAGAGCCCCAACTCGTTGATCGTGGGGATGCCTCCAAGTACAATACCGAGATAAACGGTGCCCTTGAGGTATCGGAATAAGTGCTTAATAGCACGAAGATGGGCCTTAGAAGGCCCTGAATTCGCCTGTGACAATTTACTGACGGTGTAGGCCATGTCAACGTGAGTTCCAGCCACCAGGAAGTTAAGGCAGCCGGTTTGTTCGATGTAAAGTTGTTGTTCGTCAAGCGAGCACTCGTTCTTGTCCCAGGTGACGGGCAGATCGTCAGTGGTCGCCATAGGCGTCTTGACAGCACTCAAACCATCAAAGTCGAATCGTTGAAGCACTGCTTTTGCGTACTTGGCTTGGGAAACGAAAATCTTACCGGCAGCTCTGTCGCGTTCAATCTGGAAACCGAGAAAATCGGTAGCCTCGCCGAGGTCTTTAAGAGAACAGACCTTCTCGAGGAGACGACGAACTTCCATCATGACTTGCTTGTTGGGAGCGGCGATGGCGTTGTCGTCGACGTACATAAGAACGTACGCTTTAATCTTGTGATTGACGAAGAGACAAACCTCCCCATCAACAGCAGTGAAGCCAATTCGTTCCATTTCACCCTTGATAAGTCGAAACCACCAAAGTGGTGATTTTCTCAATCCATAGAGTGCCTTGTGGAGCAGCCAAACCTTGTTGTCTGCAGTGGCGTAGCCAGCGGGGGGCCGGACGTACACCTTAACCCCCTCTGGAATCGAGGCGGCTAGGAAAGCAGTGTCGAAATCATATACTTCGTATTCAAGATCGAGAAGTGCGACAACTGCGAAGAAAAGGCGGGTTGCGGTGGCAGAGGCAACTGCAGCGTAAACCTCTTGCGATGACCAGTCACCTTTCTCGTGGTTTCCACAAACCACATATCGGGCCTTGTAGCGCACGATTTCGTTGTTTTTGTTGGTTTTGATGTCACATACCCACTTGCCGGGCAGGACTTTAGCGTCACGTGGTGGGTAAACGACTTCGTAAACCCCCTTTTCCGTGAATTGAGTCATCTCTCGTTCGAAGGCTTGTTCCCACTGGGGCCACTGTGGGCTCTTCTGCGCCTCACGGTAGGACTTCGGGATCACCACGCCGTCGGGTAGGACTTTCGAAAGGGCAGTAGCAGAAAGCACGCTGAGAGAGAATTGACGAGAAGTTAGTGAAGCTGGAATGTCAGCAGATAGAAAAGTCTTTTTAGCATAGGAGCGTACGCCACTGGCGGCTCGGTAGTGACCAGGTGGTCGCTGGGCTGAGGCGCGGCGAGGTCGAGAGGACTCTGCCGGTTGACTCGTTGCTTCCTCAACAATCGTGGAGAGGGAATCAGGGTCCTGGTGATCAGTTTCCATTGTTTCCACGGAAGCGACGAATTCGTCATCATTCAATTCGTTAGTAATGCTGTCACGAGGTGTAGCAGTGGTCTCCAACAGGTTCTCCGGTGGCGGAGACATGAGATGTGTATCAGTGGGTGCCATCGCTTTTTCAACGATGGTCTCATCTGGTTTGGGATCACCAGTCACGGGTTTTTCACCTTCAATAGGCTTCTGACGGATGGTGTACTGGATGATGATATCTGGTTCGACAAACGCAGCATCATGTTCAATTTCATCAATGTTGGGTGTGCCAGTAGTTGGAGGCAACACTGTCTTGTGCGGTTCCTCACGAAATCGAACATCTCTGCAGCGAATAACCTCCTTTCGATCAGGCAGGTAAACGTAGTAAATGTGGCCACGAAGAGAACCGTAACCGACGAGGAATCCCTTGATTGCTCGTGGTTCCATCTTGGCAGAGCGCATAGGGCGTCGAGGGCCCTTCTTGTGTACGTAGGCAGCACAGCCAAACGTTCGGAGATGTTCAATGTGGGGGGCCTCACGTTCAGCAGCCAAGTTCAGCTCTCTCGCCATGATCTCGTGAGGGCTCAAGTTACCCTTGGAGGGTGTGGGCAAGAGGTTGAGAATCTGAGTCACCGAATCGATGCTGTAATCCCACAGTTCCTCTGGAAGGGACATGTCAATCAGCTGTGTCCGGGCGCCTTCGACGATGGTACGACCAGCACGCTCAATAGTACCGTTCATGGAAGGCGTGTAGGCAATAGTCGTGTTGTGGCGAGTACCCTCGAAGTAGGGGTCGTTGAAAACCTTGATTAGCTCGGGAGCATTGTCAGAAACCCAAACCTTGGGCTTGAGGCCGGTGAGACTGTAGAATTCAGTATCCCATTTCTTGATAGCTGCCAGGATGGTGGCAAACTTGTGGTTGGGCAGAAAAACAACCCAGTGGTAACCACTATACTTATCCATGAGGTGTAGAACCTGACGGTTCCCTTTTGTTGATAGGGGAAGAACACCAACGAGATCAAGGTGAATTTCATCGCCAATACTCGTAAGTGGAAGTGGGTGGTCTCGACTAATCCGTTCAGTGGATTTGCTGAGATGGCAAGACTCACAGAAAAAGGCGTCAATTTCTGACGTTGTGAACCGAATGCCAACACGGCGGCAAGCCTCCACAACACGTGATGGGTGGGCGTGAACCAGCCGGCGGTGCATCAGTTCAAGAGACGGTCGCTGGGTAGCCCGGAAGGCGGCGAGGCTGACAGCAATATCTCGAGGCACGTGATTTCCAGTATCATGAGTCTCAACGACGCAGACGTCAGAAACCCAATGAACTTTGGCAAGGGAAGTGCGCTGTGTCACGTGTATGAGGCTTGAGGTCTGCCAATCATATTCCACGTGATCACGACGAAGTTTTCCAGGGCTGAGTAAGTTGGCCGGGCTGGAAGGGTTATACTCAACGTTGTGAAGTGTCCAATCGTGAATAACGTTAGGGTTGGTGGGGTCTAGGGTCTGGAAGAAGACGGTGCCCACGCCAAGTGACCGGACTGGGGCGCCGGAGGCAGAAGTGGAAGGTGTCAAATCGCTCTTTTCAGCGTACTTAACGAAATATCGCAAGTTGTTAAAGGTTGAAGTAGTACAACCAGAATCGAGAACGATATCGTCTCGGGTGATGAGGTCATCGCGGGCAGCAGTGAAAACTGCTGGGCTGGCGATGGAGGCAAGGGCAGACTGACCCAAGATGGCAGGTGACGCTCTGACAACAGTCTGGCGGGTGCCATCAACAGAAGTAGGCTGATCCCAGCGGCAGCGATCGCCACACACGTGCTTTCTCGCTTTTTCAATCAACTTATCCCGGTTGACGTAGTGTAGAGGGATGAGATTGGGGTGGGCGACATAGCACTTTGTGGTCTCGTGATCACAGTTGCAGTGGTCGCACTTCTTCTTTTCCTTGGAGGCAGTGACAGTGGAGGTGACGGTGGTGGTGACGGCTGGAGAGGCAGGACCCCCACTGCCAGCAGACTTGCCTCCAGGTGTGTTGCGAATAGTGGCATAACTGCGCTTTTGATCCTCGTCTTGGGCAAGCGTGTAAATCGTATCAGCCACCTCATTCCACGTGGGATGGGTGGCGCCCTTCGATGTGAAATGCTTGTACGTATCGGGAAGTCGGTCCTTAAAGAAGTTAAGGAGGAAAACAGCGAGGAAGGAGTCTGGCAGACGACCGTGAATGGTCTCAATACGCTTTCTGAGGTGGTGACAGCGATTGAGGGCATCGTGAAGAGTCTTGTGATCGTTGGCGGTGGTCTTGGCAAACTCGTCAACAAGGGCAGCTGTGGCGTCTTGTGAGATTCTCGGAATGTGCTTCTCGAGCGCCTGCCACAATTCGTAAGGGTTTCCATCGTCAACCCAACCCGCTGTGCAGAGTCTGTCAAGAACCGATTCGCTGGCGTTCATGAGGAGACCATTCGTGACGTTACGGTTCTTTCTCCATTCCTCTGCAGCGATAGGGTCAGCAGGGCGAGGGACGTCAGTCTCGAGGAATATCTCGAAGTCGTATCCTCGCAGGGTCGCTGTAACAAGCATGCGCCATGTGTTCCAGTTGGATTCACCTTTCAGGCGAGGAAGAGGCGTGAAGACGGTCTTGAAGTCGTTTTGAGACATCTTGAAGTGAAAGTGAGGGTATCACAACAGTGCGGGACAGACTTATAGTCGCACCTCGATCACAGGCGTTTCTCCGAGGCCGCAGCTTTGGAGGCGTGTCTGTACGTTAGATGGCTTACTTTCGCTGCCACCTACGCGTGCTGTTGGATTGTGTAGGAGGGAGAATCTTGCGTAAGAACACGAGAAATGGGTGGAATTGTGAGATCCGACCGTAGAAATACGGTGAATCGAAGGGAAGAATGAATACTCGTAGAAGATACGAGAAACTGATGGGCTGGTTCGAAAAACCGAAGCTGAAATGGTTGAATTCTCGTGAAAAACGAGGAATCGAAGTAAAAGTTGTAGTTGTGACTGAAAAGTCTGTTGTTGACCGTGGTGTTCGTGAAAACCAGTGGGTTGTGGTGGTCGGTCGCGTGCCACGTGATATTCGTGCGCGCCAGGCAGCCAATGTCGCGTCAGAAAGTGAAATTCGTCAGCGAAGAGGAAGGAAAGAAAGCGAGAAAATCGCACAGAAGGGTAAATAAAGCGAATAAAATCGCAAAAATTCGTGAATCAATAGAAAATTGACAGACGAGTAGAATAATGGGTAAAACGACGTTATTCCGAAAGAATAACGCTGGGCTCATAACCTGTGGGCGAAACCAGCACAGAACGCTCAGAATGGGAAAAGTGGTGTTGTTGGTTGGAAGAACTAACTAACTGGCTAGAGGGCTGTGGAGGCTGGCTAAGACCAGTGGTGGCGGCCGTCAGCCCACGTGACGGGCCGGCGAGGCCTGCCACCCACACAATCCCTGCCCCCCCTGGTCAGCCTACACGTGCGGCACTGACTGGGCAAATCCCATCACCGCATTTACTACTCGCCTGCGACAGCGGTACCCGTCTGGCCAACCCTCTAGCAGATAAGAAATCAGCCCTTTTTCGCCAAATATTCCTCGGCGACTCAGTGAGAAAGCCCAATACACCGTAGAGGTAGAGGCAAGGGTTTGACGATGAGCAGGGGTTATAATGGCAATATTTCCATGTCCACTATTTCAGGCAGCACAGGGCAACATGGAGCGTTTTGGGATCCATGCTCTCTCCGTTGACGGCGTTGCTTGTTTGTTCTTGACTACACCGCACAAGACTTGGTATCTCTTTCTTTCGGTCGGCATCCGCGACGCCGTATCTCCCTCGTAGTGTAGACCAACCAGACGACGGAAGCTGACAGAGAACTCGCAGACTCGAAGACCGCAGCCCAGCCTTGTGGGCCCATTACTGCCCGCCCCCCCCTCCTCGGATCGAGGATAGAGAGAGGGAGAAAGAAAAAAACGAGAAACACTGACTGAGCAGCACGTCATCGCTGTGGGCTACGTGTCGGAATGCCGTCAAAACGCATATACGGAGCCCTACCTACTGGATCCCGTCGCACCCCCTCTAGGTTTATTTTCAGTTTACGAAACGGCAAACGGTGGAGGAAATACGATTGACAGTTGGGCGATGAGGCATCTAGCGGCCCCCGTACGGGCGTTGCGCCGCCTTGTGGCTAGAAAAATGGTGCGTTATCACCCACCAATCGTCTATGCACACACAAATGCATCTTGACAGGGGAGGGGTCCAGCACCTTCATCGGATGAGGGAGAAAAAAACACCATACTGTGACAAACCCTTGCTCCGTCGACCAGATAACCTAAGCCTCTGCCTTACCACTTGCTCCGGAAAAGCACAGCTTGAGAACAAGGGGGCAGCAGAGAAGCGATAGAGAGAGGTCAGCAAAAACAGAGTGTCGAGGCCAAAAAAATTAAATGAGAAAAGGACCCTGCACCAACAACATGTCCAAAAGAGGTGTAGACCGGGAAAAAGAATCCCTGTCTAACATATCAGACTCCTCCACCCACTCTACACTAGACCCCTTTGAAGTCGGGTCGCAGTGAGCTCAGAGCCACCGATTCGGCCCGCCCGCCACCGACTCCAAACCAAACAGCGGAAACCCATTCGCCATTTAGTGTCCTCCAGCCGCGCTTCCCTTTTGCTCGCCTGAGAAAGTTTAAGAGCGGGGGCTCTCGGCCTCTTCTTCCGTGTTTCCTCGCTTGCTGGGTTCGACCCTGTAGACTTGTCTGACGACATTATCCACTGTAGCGGCTCATAGGCACCAAGCACCAACGGATATGAGCTGCGATGGAGTAAATTGCTGGGAACTTTTGGTTTTCATGTTGTTGGAACCAACGCAGTTTTTGAAGGCCATGTGCTCAGAAAATATGAAGATAAAAAAGCAATTAATGTGCGAGTCATGACCGATCCCGCACTCATAGGGATTTGGGTCGCCATAGAAAGAGTATATCAGTAGCTACATAATTTGTTTTCAACTAGAAACTGACAATAATACTACAGAGTTGTTTAAAGGCTGGAACAGTCTCAAAAATAAACAACTGGCCGTCGACAATGGGTTAATGCGTAATCGAAGAGATAGGTAGACACTGTACAGACTGATCTGTGCAGACGCTGAATTCGCACTTTTCCCACTCTGATAACTCCATAACTGAACGAAGTATAATCTGAGCTTTAGAACCACTGTCATTTTCCTACCAAACTGCTTGGGCTTTTCCGCACATAATTTTGCATAATGTAATATTGTTGTAGAACGCATGCTAATTATTTCAACAGAAATGAAGTAATGAACGTCATGGTCTCTCTATCCTGTTTACCCCATGAAATACCTTGCGGGAAATGAAGAACCGTGACTGAGTCTATTTTTAAGTAGTTTTCAGCATAAGGCTCTGCTCATATTTACGATAGGTTTCACATAACTTGAGGTAAGTGAGCAACGACTGATGGGTCTCTGTACATCATCAATTTTGAAAATGCACAGGCGGCTGCTGGCTTGGCAAGAGGTCGATTATGCTGTAAAGCTTTCCAAAAGGACCTACCAAACTGAGAGCATCGAAAAGCAAAAGGACCGCCAATTATGAACAATAAAAGCGTGTGATTGGATCGGTTGTCGACTTATATAGGTAGCATGCAAGTCGACCGCCTCACTGAGACCGCTTCTGTGACTGGATAAGCAGAAAGCCCTTGCAGCAGCTGGTAGGCTGTACCTCGACACCAACAACAACAGGCCACCAACCTAACCTACTTGCATGTACTGCAACAAATTAAATTGGCTGTGGTTTTGTACCTGTACTTCGATCAGGATGGCTGTGAATGATCCTCAAAACTGTGCTCAAGCAAATGTCCCCTCCACACCACGCATCATCAGGCTGAGCTCTTGGCGGGGTTTCCAAAAGTTTGCTTTAAATACTCTCTTTAGCTGCTCAAGGATATCATTGACTAAGTATTGGTAGTCTTCTTTTACGAATCATCAAAATACGACGAGCTTAACCAGAAAACCTTCCCTCCGATACGTTGGAAATAGCTGTGTGCACTATCATCTGCAACAAAAGTTGTACCTCAGCCAGACGCCATGTCTATTAACTGGTCACAACTGGATGGCGACATCACACGCCTGTATGTATCGGAGGACAAATCACTTGAGGATACTCTTCAATACCTCCATAACAAGTACAACGTTAAGATTACGTATGGCCATCCTTACCTGGAAGATAAGCAAAGCTAATGGTCAACAGGCCCCGGCAGTTCAAGAGAAAATACTCTGGCCTCAAAAAGCTCCGTGCTACCGAATGGAAAGCCATCATCAGAGAGATTGCAAAAAGGGAAACCGAGAACAAGAGATGTGAGGTCTTTTTAAACGGCCGGAAGCTGGATCCCGCACGTATCGAAAGAGAAAAGCGGAGGTATGGCAATGTTTGTGAAGCCGTTGAAAGCCGAGAAAAGATTGGTGTGTATTCCGACAACGACCAAAGATGATGTTTTGTTTTAATACCTGCCCAGATCTAGGAATCAATACTATTGGCAGGCACCGGATAGAAGTCCGCACACCTCAGCCTCTCACATCTGAAGTACCTTCTCCAGAGCCGCTTCTTGCTTGGCCCTCAGAACAAACAGCCACCAGCTTACAGCAAGCGGATGCAGCTGATCAACTAGAGCTAAATGTACATAATCTTCTTGAATGCGACCTTGGATTATCGGATCTCAGCACCCCTCGACTGGAGTTGAACTACACAGCTTCTTCATCTGGAGCAGTGAGCCAGACAACAGGAGACAACCAGACTCTTATATGTAGCAACGACTTCGCATTTGACCTTCAGTCAGATACTATTGCCGCTATGGGGGTCGGTGTGACTCAACATTCGCCATTTCATTGGTTCCAGCGAACTCAATCGGAGTTTAGTCTTTCGAGTCGAAGGACTTCTGGGCATATCCTGCAGCACAGCTACGCATCTCATGACACCGATATTCCGCTTAGTTTCTTGGGTTCCCCAGGTGTGTCTCATTTCAGCTCTTATACACTGGACAAGAGTCCAAAGCTAATAACATTACTCGTCGATAGATGCCACTAAAATCCTCGCAAACCTTCAATCAAGGAGTTTCTTTTGTCGCACCGATTTGGAAACTATGCATGAATGCATGGCTCCCCGTGATGATTCAAAAGTCCGCATACCAAAGCACTACAATCAGATTTCATCATATTTCAATTGCATCGTAACCTCGTTTCGTATTCCACCTCAAGTTTTACTCTTGACGGAAGTAATACTAAACAGTTGGGATATTCCCTCGTTAGCGAATAACAGAGAAATTAATTTCTTGATTCGAGACCATGGTCGACAGCTCCTTTACTTGTTGTTTACGGCTATTGTGCACCTCTGTTGCAACAATATGATGGTCATTGGCGGGCTTTTTTCTTTCCTTGATTGGTTGAGTCGTATGGACCTTTTGGGACAGTTTGGGGCATTCCTGCGAGGAAACTCCTTAGCTACCCACGCTATTGTCGACGAACTTGTTCGAAGATTGCATGACCACCCCGACAGAGGAAGAAGGATACCCAACGAACCAGTATGGGAAAGCCATAAGGAAAATCTTATTGCACTGCTTCTCGAGCCTAAAACCATACAACTACCAAGAAGGATGGCCGGGAGATTGCTTCATGCGATTGCTTTCACACCTTGGGTTAAACTCGGAAAGATATTAGTGGAGAAGGGAGCCAGTTTGAATTCTGAGAGGCCTTTGACAGACAGATTCAACAGGCTACAATTCGAAGGCGTCAAGTCGTGCGTGGGAACGCCACTGTGCCAGGCTGTCATGGACAGGGGACTCAAGATGGTCGGATTCCTCATCGACGCTGGCTGTGACGTCAAAAGACAGTTTCATGACGAGTTCACAGGAAAATCTTACAACGCCCTCGGATTATGCCTGTCCCGAGATTACCCTGATATCGATATTGCCGAGCTCTTGGTTTCGGCTGGCTGCGAGGTATACCTAGGCTTCAGGTCGAACTGGCAAGTGACGCTGGAAAACTTTAAACACTATAAAAGAATGTCTCAGCAGTTACAAGACAAGCTTGAAATCCCTTCACATGTTCAGAAACATTATGAATTGTGTATAGGGGCAGTTGAAGCAGCAGCATCCGGAAATCAAGGACTTTCAACATATCTTCTCGAAAATAAAGTTTTCCAAGAAGAGACCCTCGAGTACATTTTGAGAATTTCAGTCGAAAAAGGGAGCGACGCGGCCGTTCAAACTCTACTGCGGCGTGGTGTAAACCCCAATGCCCCCAAACAACTGCTAGGGAATCGTATCCTCGGAGGCGATGAGGGTCTGAAGGGAAGCACACCAATTCAACTGGCAGCATCCGAGGGGTATTACGACATTGTTTACCTGCTTTACAAAGCCGGGGCGAAATTCGATTTGGAGATTTTGGAGGAGATAAAGCGTAGTATTCGTCGCTCGTATAGTGTAGAGCATTGTCTCGATCTTTTATCAGCACTATTGGTATCAGGGGTCGACCCGAACCTAGTTGGGCCCTTTGCACTTGCGCTTGCTATCGAGGAAAACCGTATCACCATGTGTGGATTCTTCTTGGATCTTGGAGCTCCGATGGACGCCTACGGCGAGGGCGGTCAGACACCTTTACAACGAGCGGCCTCGGAAGGGAAGTTCGAAATCTTACAGTTCTTGCACGATAAAGGCGCAGATGTCAACGTGTCAGCATATCGTGATAACGGACGAACGGCTTTACAAGCCGCAGCTGAAGGATTTGATTACAATTCAGACGAGATTTTGGAGTACCTTCTCAATGCTGGCGCGGATGTTCGAGCGCCTCCTGCAGAAGAGGGGGGTCTCACTGCCCTTGAAGCTTTGGCAAACGGAAATGAGTTTCCCCTCCATCGCTACCGTGAATCGGTCCAACCTTCTTGGTTCAAACGTTTCATGTCACTAGGGGCTCCAATCAATCGGCCGAGTGGCGCGAGTAGTAATACCCTACATGGACTGATAGATTCAGGCAGTCGTGGATGCCTAGGGTTTGTGTTGCAAGCTGGAGCAAGAGTTGAGGATAGAAGTTTACCGCAGTGGAAAAAACCAGGAAGAGGGAGCAAGGACATGACACCGTTGCAATACGCCGCGCTTGTAGTCGATGCAGAGGCTATTCGTATTCTTCTCAAGCACGGAGCCGACGTCAATGCAGAAGCTGGGGAAGAATTCGGGCGTACAGCTCTACAAGCAGTGGTATCGAGTGCCCCGAGGGAGGCTGTTACCGAAGTCGTGGATCTGCTTTTGTCTCACGGCGCGGACGTCAATGCGCCACCGGCACGAAAAGGCGGAATAACAGCGTTACAGGGCGCGGCTTCTACAGGCGACTTTCAACTTGTCAAAAATCTCCTCGCTCATGGCGCAGATGTCAACGCTCCAGGAGCTGCAGAGGAAGGCAGGACAGCGCTTGAAATCGCAGCTGAATGGGGTCGCTTGGACATGTTTCGGTTCCTACTCAGTAAAGGGGCCGTTCCGGACCCGGTCAGGGGATACACAAGTGCAATTGAGCTTGCAGAAAAGAATGAAAGCTTTGTGGTTGCGGAATTCTTACGCAACGAGAGCATATTGAATCCCCTGGACCCTGGGCTGTGGAACATGGACTTTAGCGAAACTTTTCAGTCTATGCCTACTCCCAGCTCTGACTTTATAGATGTTCTTATGAAGGAGTATACGGAGATTTAGTGTGGATGGATCGAGTCTTTTACATCACGGTTTTGAACCAGCATAGTATCAGAATTACTGCAAAGGATGCGTTGATTTAACGATGGCTGCGTCTGAGAACAGGCACGAGTGCGAACACAAATACGGTCTCTTCTTGTCTGCATCAAGGACAAATTTCTGAGGTTGGAGTCTGATACCGGATGGTAAAGATTCGTCGTATTTGCAAAATTTTCATCAAAAACATTCTAGGAGTGACAGTTTCATAAGCTTGCAAGTACATCTTCTATGCGGCTTCTCAACACCTCGGCACTACATAGTAACAAGTTCAATTAGATCCATAGAAGACGGTTACTACTCTCTAGAACCGAAAACTTAGCTCAACTTGATCCATCATCATTTCAGAAAGGAAGGACTCCATGTACCTACGGCTGAGATAATATAAAGCTTGACGAAAGCATTGGGTGAGATGGTCTGTGTGGTCTACTTTGGCAGACAAGAAAGAACAACAAACCAAGGCTGGATGAGAAATCGCAATGTCAAAAAATACCACATAATAACATAGGTCACCTATCAACGGGCAGAGGACACTGTATAGCACGTAAATAAACTCCATTTTACCATAAACAAGCTTCATAAAGCCGGATCATTTGTGTGCGTGCTATCTATCTACATCCAAAAGCAATCTGCGCAAGTACCTCCACATGCATAATCCCTTTCCCCTTCGCGTTCAAAAATCAAAAATCAAAAAAGTCTCAAACAAGTTCATGTTGCTGTGCTTGCTGGTTCAGTTGTCATGGGTCAAATGTCTCTCAAACGTAAACTGGACGTCTGGTATCGTAACAACTGTGAATCCGTCTTTCATATCTCTTACACGGGTCTTGGTCTCTTCTGTCGTTCATTGTGCGTGCTTTTCTTCATCATTGTTCAAGTGTTTAAAAGACTCGTGAATCAGAGCTCGTCGTGGTCAAGCTCATCGGTAAGCTCATCAGTCTCCACTTCATCAGTCGTTTCCTCAAGAGCGAGCTCATCCTCCGTGGTTGCCTGCTCGACAGGCTCCTCAATTGACACAGCAGACTCAGTGGCAAGTGGCTCTTCCGCCTCAGTGGCTGCGGCTTCAGTTTCAGAAGCGAGCTCTGCAGTAACGGTGTCTTCCAAAGGAGTAGTATCCTCATCCGCAGGGAACTCCTCCGATGAAGCATTTTCCTCAGTAACAGCTTCTTCAGATGCCTCCTCGTCGGTCTCAGGCACGGCGCTAGGCGTGGCCTGAATCTTGACAACCTCTGTCTCAGTGACGATTGCCTTGACCGTCTCTGTCACGGTCTCGATGATCCGCACCACTTCTCTGGTGGTGATGGTTTGGTGGACGGCAACATGTGTTGAGGCTTCCGCTTCCGCTTCTACTTCCATGGAGGGAGAAGGAGTAGGTTCGGGCGAGGGTGTGGGCTCGTCAACAACTGACTCATCAATCGGCTCATCAAGCTCTTCATTCGCTGCTTCATCAGCCGTTTCAACCACCGCTTCATCCACTAAAGAAGACGGAGAAGGCTCCGGTGCAGCGGTCGAAAAGCTCTCAGAAGGCTCTGCAACTGACGACGTAGCTTGAGAAACAGGCATCTCCTGACTAGGCTCGGGAATCTGCGCCTCCTGACTCGGCTCGACGACGACCTCGATCGGAGTCTCGAAGGATGCGATCGATTCAGTGACTGATTCGATGACAGAAGCAGACTCGATGGAGGCAGACTCGACGATAGATACAGACTCGACAATGGACTGCACAGTTTCCATGATGGGCGGCTCAACCGGAGCCTCAGGGATATCGGACACAGAGACCTTAGGGACGATCGGTTCAACAAACTTGCCATCCCATTCTCGGACCTCGCGTTGAGCTGGCTTGACAGCCATGAACAGCATCAACAAGCTCATGACCACAATGGCCAGGTTCTTCTTGTCTTGCATGAACACCCTGGCGGCCTCGAGGAGAAGCTCGGCAAGTCCGGCGTTCTGGAAAGCTTGCTGCCTCTCCTGAGGGTGGTGACCATACCCGTCGTGGGGCTGAGGCGGTGGGGCCTGCTGGTCTTGGTGATGATGGTGTTGGGGCTGTTCCCGTGCTTGGTGCTCTGGCGAAGGAGACTGCGCCATGTATTCGTCGTGGTGTGACTCCGGCTCCGGCGCAGGCTCATGTCCATGCTCCGTCTCAGCTGGGGGAGGGGTGTGGCCGTAAATCTCACGCATGCGAGCCTCATCCCTTAGGCGACGCTCCTCGCTTTCATGGTGACGAGGCATGGGCTCGGGTGAGGGCGAGCGATGCTCTTCGATGGCGGGAGGTTCAAGAGCCGGAGGAGGTGAAGACGATCGAATGTGCGACTCGTCCTGATGGTAGTTGGGCTCGATCATATTTGACTCTCCCAAGAAGGAGGGCTCTTGATGCGGCTCGTCCAAAGCCGACATGCCACGGTCGAGGTGCTCAGACATTTCGCGTTGGAAAGCAGACATGTCATGGTCGTCGGTCATGTCTCTGCCTTCAGTCGACTCGAGGATGGTAGGGTCATGTTTGACCATTTGTTGAGACTGAGCAAGCACAAGACGCTCCAGCTCGTCCAAGACGGCAGACGTTACGATGGGCTCTATTTCAACATCAACACGCTCCATCTCCTTCCAGCACGCAGCCCACGCACCGGTCCTCATAAGACCGTTGCTGGCGTAAACCTTGATGCGGAAGATCTTGCCGGGACCAAGCGACTCGTACCGGATGTCGTGACGGCAGGTCGAGCACCAGTATGTTTTGGCAAGAATGTTCCGTTTTCTGATTTCCTCGTCATACTCTTCGTCGCTATCGATGTCCTCAGTGAGAGTCGTCTCATTGGACGGGCCAATGTAATGACCACACTCAAGGACACGCGCTCTACGGCGCAAGGGTAGATCGAGGGCTTCCAGCAGACGCTCTTCCAAGATTTCGTATTCATCCTGGGGGTGGGAGAGAAGAATGCCACGCTCGCAGACTGTCTCAGCTACGCGGTCGTGGAGATGGTGCCAAGCCTCACGAAGATTCTTGGCCTCTGAGGAGAGGTTGTCGGATGGGGTGGCCTCAAGAATCTCGGCCCACTGCCAACGGAGGGGAAGGAGGGTTACATGAAGTAGAACTAGAGGAGCGGGTTCCTTCTTGGCCTTAAGGCGGGTCGGTGTAGTACGGCCCCTGGGAGAATATTGGGCGGAGACGTTCGGGCTGCCGAGGCGGGAGATGGTTGGCATCTGAGGACGCTTGCCAGAGCGGGGAGATCCGATTACCGAGGCAGCAGGGGAGGAGTATTGCATTGCCTTTACATCGGAGGGGGTACGGAAGGGCATTCTGTGAGAACCGCGAATGGTAGGAACGAACTCCTCGCGGTCGTAGTATGACATTTCAGACATGGAGACGTCAGACATGCGGGAAGAGCGCTTGGATGAGCGCCAGTCCATCTCTTTATGGTGGTCCATATGGCCGTCGAAGGATCCTAGAGAACTGCGGGGACTGCGTTCGCTAAAGACATCGGAATCGGCCCCGTGTTGCGAAGAACTGTCGCCGCCGTCCTCAGTGTGCATGGGAGTAGGGAGTGCCTCGCTTTCCCGTCGACTCTCCCGGCGGCTTTCACGACGGCTTTCGCGGCAGCTCTCCCGTCGGCTCTCACGGCGACTGTCACGGCGACTTTCGCGGCGGCTGTCACGATGGGTGGCCTGAGACTCAGAGGCGAAGGACTCGCGGCGGGTTCCCTCCGATCTTGTGTCGTAGTGAATTTCGGTTCCATTTGCTGTTGAGTCCATGGAGACGCGGGGAGAGTGTGATCTGTTGCGGATGGTTTCCATAGTCTGGGCTTCGAGCCGCTCGAGGACCTCCTTTGCTGCTGCTTGAATGAGGGCTTCAGTATGGCCAGAAGCACGGCGGAGTGATGATGAAGAACGGCTGGCTTCTTGGACTTCTGTAGGCTCGTCGTTGGTTTCCTCGGCATCGACGACGAGCGTCGGAGGCGCCACGTCGCCAGACTCAGCTGCCATGGCAAGTGTCTCTTCCACCTTTTCTGCCAGCTCTTCTGATGTAATTTCGGGTTCGGGTGTAGCGGCCCTTTCCTGCTCGACCTCTGGCTCAGGCTGGGGTTCGGGTGCAGTAACTACTTCGTCCAGTTCTTCTTGAGGTTGAGGTTCAGCCTCTGCTGGGGGAGCATCATCCTTGTCAGCCTCCAGCTCAGGCTCAGGCTCAGGCTTGGCCTCGGGCTCAGGCTCTTCCGGCTTAACGTCATCAACTTCCTCGAGATCCTTCTCAGATTCAGCGCCTGACTGATCAAGTTCTGTGGCCGCAACAGCAATATCCTCATCCTTCTCAGGCTTGTCGTCGACTGTTGTGGCGTCGGTGTCAGGTGTAGGTGCTGACGCAGCGGCTTCTACCTCTGCGTCTTCTGTGGCTGGTTTTGTTTCCTCAATACTGGCAGGCTCCTCAACTGCAGACTCGGCAGCAACCTCTGGTGTTGTGTCTGTTGTAGGCTCTGATTCTGCACCAGAAGCTTCAGCAGGAACCTCCGTCTCCGGTGTTGATTCCTCGACCTTGGTCTCAGTTTTCTCAGCGGCCTCCTTCTCAGCAGCTACTTCTGCCTTCTCTGAGGCCTCTTCTGAAGCATCTGTATCCTTCTTTCCATCCGTATCATCAGCCTCCTTCTGATTTACATCCTTGGCATCCTCCACAGGATCCTTCGTATCAACCTCAACCTCAACCTTCTCCTCAACCTTCGCAGGGACCTCGTCGTCGGCCATCGGTTCGCTCAAACAAGACTGATCAACATGTATCTCAAAGTCCAGCTCCTCGGCTTTTGGCCCCGGCCGTGGCATTTAACGGCGGGAAGAGGGGGAGGGGGGGCGGTTGATCAACGAGGAAAGAGGAAAATGCTCAACGCAAAAAAAGCGGGTTTTCCTCCCAGGAAGAATGTTGGTCGTGTTCTTCTTTGTGAAAGGGTTTAAAAGGGGGGAATGAGGACCCTATATTCGTGCGTGTTTATGCCGGCTCGGGACGGGTCGAGGGAGCAACCGGTCGTGTGAGTGCGTATGTGTGTGTGAGTCGTCCCAAAGAACCAATTATGATCTTCAGGGTATTTCTGGATAAGACAACACGAAGACCACGAAGTGCGGATAACGTGGGAAGGAAAATAAAGAATAGCGGAACGATTTTAGCTAGACAAGGAAGCTGCCTGCCTGTGCCCAGCAATCGAATTGACAGCAGTAGAAGTAGGTAGTTTGTTGACTATGATTCCCTTTTGGTGTGGGAGGAGGGAAGCTTAGTTGCATATATGTGATGAGTTGTCCGGCGGTGGTTGGTTGGGGACAACCCTCCCCGTTTTCAGTGGGCTGAGAGACCAGTACCAGTCACCCAAAAAAAGAAGGGACTGATTGGGTTGGACAGAGGCAACGGGTTAGGTGTTCCTGCAGCATTTGGCAGCTGTCTGCTTTCCCCGGGAGTGGCTGGAAGCTTTGGTGGGTTGGTTTGTTTACACCGCTCGTTGCCGGGGTGAATGTGTGATCGCCCACGTACCCGCCCAACCAACCATGTGATTTTTCCCGCATTGTGGTTGGCGCCCGATTTGGGGGAGGTATCCTCTCCTATACGACGGGGAAGCATCCGCCTCATTCAGACTTTTTTTTTTCCTAAATCAAAAGGTTGGGGATGGGACAAGAGAGGAAAGACAAGTGGTCTCGCGGGCATACGACTTCCATAGATTCCTTCATTTCTGTCCCTGTGTCTGTTCAAAGTCCCTACATTCTTTTGCCAGAGAAATCTCATTCAGCCATCGTAAAGCGGGATCCCACAGATGATAGATAGCGCTGGTCCAAAGACATTTCTCGCACTGCCCTTTTTGACGTCATCCCGGCCTCCCGTCGTTTTGCCCGTTTTTCCCATTTTTTTCGACCAAAGGTCCCGGACGTTGTCACCAGGGGGGTGGTCAAATGTCGGTGACCGCTTGTTTCCCTCCCCCCGCCCGCCGTGGTCGTCCGATGGAAGATGGGATGGGGCCTCGACCGTTGGGTCGACGACGTCTGCTGCATGCGCGGTTGCCGGGGCCGCTTTCTCGGTAAAAGCCAATGGCGGAGGCTTTCTTGGGACGAGGTAACGTTAGCCTCACCTGAGGCCGTGCTGCTGCGCCGCCCATCGTTGATGATCTGCTCGTGCAACCTCACAAGTGATGTAGTGATGTCGATCCATCAGGAGTAAAGGTTGTAGATCCATTAGGAGTAAAGGTCGTAGCATCATCCGAGGACTTCATCAAGTTTCCAACGTCTTCACGTCACAAAAACAAAAGGCATTATGAGAGATCCAACTCCCGGTCTATGATTGCAAGCTACAAAGCGACTATTATACAACCCTCTGGCGGGGCATCCATCTTTTCCGTGTATCATGCTCTATGCTTTCTCTATGATAGGCAATCGGTGAAAAGAATCTCATGTTCCCACCCAGGGAGTTTCTTGTTGTTTCTTTGGCGTGATAAATCAACATTTTTTCAGCAGGCCGATCCAATGTGCGCGCATCGCACCAACCCACAAGTCTATTGCGCGAATTGTGCCGTGTTGTCGGGGGGAGGATATCATGTTGTGTCTTCCCGCCATTTACCGTTCCCTGGACAAAGCAAATAAAATAAACCCATAATCTCAGGGCTTTGAAAAAGGCAAGGGAGGAAACAATCATTAAGTCCTCGTCCAGAAAACCCAGCGCCCTTCTCTCTCTTTCACTTCAGCACCACTCGCCGAACCTTCGTCCCCGTTGTAGTTATGTCAGAAGTCGTCAAATAACTTATTTGGCGATCTCAACACCGCCGGTGGCACCGAGGGCCTTCTTCAGGTCACCGTAGATACCGAACTGGAAGGCAGTAAGGGTACCGACCATGAAGAGACGAGCACCGATACCGGCGTAGGAGCCACGGATACCGAGCTCCTTTCCGATCTTGATAAGACGGCTGGTGGTGCCCTCACCGGGCTCACCCTTGGTCTTGTTGATCTTGGAAAGCATGGTGTCGGCGGGCTGGGAAACGATGGCGGCGGCGAAACCGGCAATCAGACCGGAGCCAAGGTTGACAAGAGTCTGGGCACCGTCGGACATGTCCTTCTTGGGGTACTGGCGGTAGATGGCCTCGGCGACCTTCTCGTAGACGACGAACTTGGACATGGTGTAAGGGATCCTAAAAGGGTTCCATGTTAGCGTCTAGGTTTTCACATCGGACACAAAAGGAGCACCAATCTCCCATGTGGACAAGAGAGAAAAAAACTTACTGCTTGAAGAGAATGGGGCCGAATCCAGCGTAGAAAGCACCGACACCCTCAGAAGAGAGCATCTTGCTGAAGCCGGAAACGAGACCAGAGGCATAGGTGGGCTCAGAGACGAGACGGATACGGGTAGCCTCAAGAGGGCAAAGGGCGATGTCGGCGAAGAACTCGGCGGCGGCGGAAGAAGCCAGGTAGACGGCAGTGCGGTAGTTGGAGGCGTTCTCGTAGCCAACAGTGTTGATGCACTGCTGCTTGAAGAACTCGTAACCTCCGAACTTCAGGGAACCCTGGAGGAAGTAACCAGCAAAGGTAGGGCCGACACCGGTAAGCAGGGCGCCGGCACCCTCCTGCTGGATGACCTGGCGGAAGCCACCGATCAGACCGCGGTTGTAGGTGGCAGGGTCGAGCTGGATTCTGGTCTTGACGCTGGAGAAGATGTCAGCGGGCTGTGTGCCATTGGCAATTAATGGAGTTGATGATGAGATCCTGTTGTTGTCGTCGAGGTCCGGCGGAACTTCCTCGGCAATTGCGACTTTTTTTTTCGTCCGTCTCGAATTGCTCGTGAAAGGAAACCGCGCAAACCGGACAAAGGGGGGTTTTTTCGACATCACCAACTCAGAACGGAGGGGATAAAACACCTACACATCGACGGGGGTAAGAGCACCGTGGGTGACGGAGCAGCAGACAGCACCGGCAAGGGCGAATCTGGAGTAGAGGGCGAAGCCGGTAGGCTGGCCGGGAGCAGCGGCCTTAGCCTGCTGGACGACGGCATCGACCTTGGTCGAGCCGGTAGACTGGGCGCCGGAAGCCATTGTGTATGTGATGTGTGGAATGAACCGATAAGAAAACGACAAAAGGCTGAGTGGGGAGAATGTCACGAAGAGCCGCGCAACGGGATCGTGACCTTTTTTTTTTTTGTGCTGTGGGAGGTTGGGGGGAAGAGAACTTTTTGTTGTTGTTTGGGGGGGAACGGACGGGAAGTAGGCCGGGGAAAAAATGTGAGGCCTTTTTTTTTTTTTTTCTTCCTTTCCTATTAGCGGCGCCGCGGCTGGAAGAAAATGGGCACCTTGTCCTTTACGGCAGCAAAGATTGGCTCGGGATTACTCGGGTACCCGCGATTGCGCACTGCGCACGAGCCATTTTCATTCTTTTTTGTAGCCTCTCGGTGGCTGGCCAAGCGGGTTTCCCAGTGGCTCCCGAGGCGCTACGTAGTCTTGCTACAGGGGAGAGCTCTGGCCGCTCGGCCTTCGGAAAAATCTCTGCCTGGGTCGTTGGTGGTCGGCCAAGGTTTAACCGGGCGGTCTTCCCGCGAGGTCCAGTCACAGTCCAAGTTTTTTTACGCAACAGAGGACCCACTGTCCACTTAGCGGGCTCCATTCGCCCATGTGTGTCGTCAGAGGAGCTGGGATGTCTGTTACTACGTAGGATAGAAGCTCTGCACCTTTCTTGATAATTACCTAATCGTCAAGAGTTGCCAAGCTGTCGTGTTTGCAATCTTTTTATCACAGTCCTCGCTGCCAATTCGATAAAGATGGCCTTTTCCGTACATCTTACGTCCCTGAAACGCCCTTGCAGCCTTTCGCAACAATTCAGTCTGGTAATTGCGTCAGGCCTGCCCTCCATCATGACTCGATTCGTCAATCTTGGTTGTCATCGCCTGTGAACCTGGACGGACAGCGTTGCCTTAGGGGCAACCATTAATCCGGTCCGAGACCTTACTCAGGAATCCAAAATGGAGCTGTTGCAGCTGCGGTGATATTTGACTAATCTTGCAGTATAAGCCGGACTTAGGCATCGCGAGGTAACTTTTAGAGAGAAAGACACGGGGAAACGCAACAAAGTTAAAGAAATACTAATCCAACCGTAAATGCACAAAGTGATGTACGCCTAAGCAGTTTACACAGTTCTGATTCACATCTTCCCCGATGATGGGCTATAATGGATATTATCAAATCGTCAAAACTCCATCATCTGCAAGACAGCAAACCCTGATATCTTGATTCAACGTATATAATGTACAGTATCAAATCGCATAATACAGCCAGCCAACCAAAGCAAATTCATCAAGTTGTCGTCCATGTATCCCAACCAGACCCAACATATAATGCATCCTTTTACCCCATCATTGCATGCCCAACACCCATGGTATCCCTCATACAAGGTCCAGATTGTGGTATCATAAAAGATCTGTCAGTATATAACAAGACAGGACGAGAAAACCTCCATCAATTCTATGCGAGACAAAATACTGTCTTCATAAAACTAAGCCCCTCAACTACCCGGGTCCATGCCGTTGTTCTCAAACAAGCTCAAGACATCCCCGGGCAAATACTCCAACCACGGCGGCATCATTTCATTTGGCAGCCCCAAAGACCCAATATCAATCGGGTTGTCAAATGTAATGACGTCCGTGATTGGTCCCATGCCTTGTCCAAGGTACGAATATGTTCCGTTTGCGAATGTCGGGTCAAACATGACCTGCTGAGAGAGATGCTGATGATGATGCGGTGTAGATTCTTGCTGCGTGCCGCCAGGCGAGGCGGAGGGTATCATGTTCTGCTCGTAATTCGACGAATTATGTGACGTAGGTGTATATGAAGCTGTCTGTTGTGCCGAAGTCGTGGCAAGCATTTGATAATTCGAAGTAGCGCCCGCTGGAGATGACGGCATGTCCCCTGTGAGGCCGTCGAAACGCAAGTGTGGCTTGTTCTGTCCGTGTGGACTACCTATGGATGATGTTGATAACCGGTGAGATCGATTACGTCGGGAGGTTTGCCGCATTGCCGAGGTCGCGGGTTGGGGATAGGCTACAGAGAAGATGGAATGCGGTGGAGGTTCGGGAAGGCTCTGGCGGATGGGGTCATAGATCATGTTTCCAGGCGGTGTAGGGGCAGAGTTTGGCATGTTGGACGACTGCGGTTGCGCAAATCCATGATGGCCAGAAGCCCCGGGCATGTTCTGGTACATGAGCGTGAGGCTGGGCGGGGAGTTTGTATTGCCCGTCAAAGACCACGCGATAGGCGGCATATTAGGCGACGCCGGAAAACGCCCACTCATAGACCCTCGGCGCGTAATCTTGGTGCTTTCATACTCTTCATTGGTATACGTCTCGCAGTCCCAGATGCCCTTGGATTTCTGGTCAAGGGCCGTCAAGATATACTTGATACCGCCCCAGTATTTGTGCAACTGCTGCAATGATTTGTAGCAGCGCGAGTAGTTCTGGTTTGCGGCGGATGCGAGTAGCGAGTGTTTAGTTGTTGGCTTCTGTTCAGCCGAGGAAGTCTTTTGCCTGAGGACATCTGCCTTGCAATCAACTGGGGGAGACGTCTCTCGCGAATTCGGATTGGACGCATTGGCGATGGACTCCATGAGGAAGGCACAAGCGGCGATGTACATGGGCTGGGAGGTGAAGGGATTCCCGATGAAGCTCTTTGGGTCAATAAGCTCGGCAAAGGCAAGGATATCGGCTATGGTTTTGGCGCTGGACATGGACAACTCGCGGCTATTGGGCAGCAGTTGATGGTTGCGGCTCCATGAACCGAACGGGGTCAACAATGTCGGCTGATGCAGGATAATGATGAGCGCGTGGAACCAAAAGTGTAGCAGTATGAAGTTCGTTCCCTGACCCGCCTTCAAATACGTCTTGAAGTTGGCGACGCTAAAGTGCAGCCGGGGATCTTGCTTCTGATAGAGCCTCGTAAGCTCATGCTCCATGCGCGCCAGCTTAGTCCATTTCTCTTGCGTCAAGTCTTTGGCGTTGCGGAGGTTGTTCAGCACGTCAGACACGCGGCCGTAGAGGTGGATGATTTGGATGAAGATTGGAAAAGGGGCAGGCCAGCCCGAAACAGGATCGAGCGTGGGCTCAGGCAGGGCCAGCTCAAAGTCATCATCACGAAAGGTCACCGGTCTACCGGTTCCAGAAGAGATCACTCGGTCAAGGATGAAGACGGCCCAGAACGTGTCAATACGCTCTTGCTCGACCTCGAGCTGCTCCTCGTGGGTAAGGCCGCTTTCATCATCAGGGTTTTCTTCGTCCTCCCCGGCGTCACTACCCCACTGACGGGTGTACCAAGGGTCCTTCTCACCCTGGTACTTGACGCCTACCATCTTCTGCAAACCAAGGTCGACAGCCATGCGGATTGCCAGGCCCAGATACATCCATAGTGCACTGTCTTGGTCCGCACCGAAGCCTTCGTACGCCATCATCAGCATCGCTTGGACGGCACCAACAGAAGGACATGGGAATGTGTCGACGGTCGCAGCTTTCGCCCTCTGGGCATAATGCTGACCTTGCTCAGAGTGTAGTGCATCATCACCTTTACCCTGTGCAAATTGAGGCGAATCTGAGAAGCGGGCAGCCAATGCACATACGGCATCGACAAGGATAGGCTCTACCCGTTTCTCCTTGACCAAGTGGGTAAACTTTTCCTCCTTCAAAAAGGGATAATTACAGCCAAGATGCAAAAAGAAGGTCTTGACCAGGTGCAGTATCAAGGGATGGACCGGTGCGATATCGTTGGGATCGTATACGGGCAGTTCCTCATCGGTGGTGACTTCTTCGTCATGCTTGGGCATACCAGCCATGGCCAGTCCCAAAGACTGAATAACGCTAGATCCGGAGCTAGGGGATGTGGCGCAGTTAGAGCCGCCGGTGCTCCGTCTCCGGTCCCGAACAGAAACGACCATCTGTTTGTAGCCGGGCACGATGGCCGTCGGTCCAAAGTAACGGAAGTACGGAACCCGATGGCGCTCGGTGTGGTGCAGCACGGGCGACCGGCTCTGATTACTACGGGCATCGTCGGAAAAGGAGGTAGTGCGAGGATGGGATGGGCGTCTTTGATCGTGATCTCGCGGGCTGTTGTCTGATAACCGGCGTACAAAAGTTGGCGAGTGACCGGCGGTTGCCTCGGAGCTTGTCCGAGAAGCAGCATCGCCTCCAGCCTTGTGCATCGACGAGTTCCGGGCGGCGGCATCTGCCTTCCAGTTGCGCCTCTCATCGTGGTGTAGTTCTTCGTCGTCTTCTTCATCGTCTTCATCGTCTTGGTGGGGGTCTTTGGTGGCGGTGGCGCCACCTGCAGTCTTTTTCTCGTTCACTTCATTGTAGCCCAAGCAGGTATGGCCGTTTTTGGTGCATGTTGAACAGACGGGGCGCTCGCCGGCGCATCTCGTCTTTCGCTTGCGACAGGTCAAGCATCTGAGCGGAGTCAGTTAGCTAGGATGCGCGCAAGATGGATATACAGAAGTCGTCTCGGCTGACGGCGTAAAGCAGGTAGCAGCACGGCGGCAGCGTACGGAGAAAGGAGAGTAGAGAGGAAGCAAGAAAAATCAGATTTGGACTCACGCAGCGTTGATTCTTCGCCGTTTGGACGGTGGCTGGCCTTGGTTGTGAACGAAGCGAATCTGCTTGGGGGCGGGGGGAGCTCCGTTGATCATGGAGGTCATGGCGCGTGAGGTGAGAAACCTCAACAGCGACGCAGCATGATGCTGCGCAGCGGGTGGGTGGCCGATGTATGACTGACTGGGAGCGGCGAAGGGTCAGTCAGAACAGAGTCAGAGGTCTCCAGTGTTTGTTCTGGCTTTCTCCAATCTCCAAAGTTTTGCTCCAGTATTTCTGCTGGTCTGGTCAAAGTTGGTTCCCGGTCCGGTCAGGTCAGGGCCTGGTGGAGATGGCAGGTTGTTCCTGGTAATCCACACCGGGAATGGGTAGCGGTGGTGGTGGCAGCAGTAGCAGTAGCAGTGGCTGTAGTAGTAGCAATGGTGGTAGCAGCAGTAAAGTGGTTACAGCCGCAGCAAAACTCTGTGGTTGCGGCACAGTACCCAGTTTAGGGGGGTGAGATGCTGGTATACTGGACTGGGGTGTAGCTCCCAAGTAGGGGGGCCAGGTTTAGGTGCTGGCTTGGGGAAAGCTTGGGCGCAGGAACAGCGGAAAATAAGGGTATGGTGGAGACAAGCTGCTGTAGCTCCAGTGGTAAGGCTTTAGAGTGTGCAGTAGAGCACAGCTGAGAAGCAGCAAGGTGACAGCAATTAGGAAGGGGGATAAGAAAAACAGGCTAAATTCTGAAGGTTGGCCCGTTATTGAAGTCGTGACATATGACAGCCGAGGGTATGAAAAACCCTCACTGAGAATGAATGTTCGACTATAGCTTTGGCCGAGAGACCTAAAACCAGGGCATCTCTGTCTTTGAGAGAGAGAGAGAGAGAAAAAGATGCGGAAAAGAAGGTGTGAGAGAGAAAGGCCCAACAGCCAGCCAGAAGAACAAGTCAAGGACGAAAAGGTCAGGGACGGGAGGATCAGCGAGCCGAGCTGGTTTAGTCAAAACGAGGGGGAGGCGCAATAACAGCCTAGAAAGAGGAGCTACGAGAGACGACAGGCCGAGGGAGGATGAGACGGGTAGAGAGGAGGAGGCGAACGGGTCGGGAGAGGTGCATACGATGGCGTGGCCGTTGGGCTTCTCTATCCTGTCTCGTCGTTGGTGACTTGTCTCGTCTTGTCTTAGATTTGCCGTTGGAAGGGGAGGGGTGGGATTGGGAGAGCCGGGGGGGCAAAGCATCAGCAGCCGTCCGGGTCGTTTTGATTGCGTGGTGCATGAATGGAATTAGGGGATTTGAGGAGGAGGGGGGCGCGTCTTGGGGAGAAATCCCATCCAGTTCAGTGGCCAAAGACGTTGAAATGCCACTACCAATCGTGCCTGCCTTGCCTGCCTTGCCTATACTCCGAGCTCCGCAGGAAGGATGGCAAAAAAACAATTAATCCAGTAAAACTCGAAAGCAGGGCGACGGAAAACTGGGGCACCCGTCTCATTAACGGCATGATCCTCGTCTTGCCGGGCGGGCTTAAGGGGACATGGATCCTTGAACAAGATCGTCTGTCTGTAAGTGACTAAGAAAGGCAAGAAAAAGGACTGCGCAGCTTACAAAAGGCACGACGACGACATCTAAGGTAAGGTACTCTGCTTTGAGGAGGACTGTACATTAAACAGACACTAAATATGCATGGTACATCTCCTTTCTCCTCTGGCACTCAGTATATTCTTCTTCTCTCAACGACGATGATGCAACTCGTCAGCCATAATCAGCCAATCATTTTCAGCTCATCACCAGGCTGCGTCTCTCGAAGGCATATCATGACTAAACTGACGGTGAATCTGACCAACCCACTCCCATGGGTTCATTAACTTGAGGGGTTAGATGGAAAAGATAAGCTAATCTTCTCACCGAGACTCACCGTCCCTGTATCAAAACACCTCCCAAGCATAAACTACCTAATTAGACGAGAGAAGCTTTAATTTCACCATGAACATTATCTATTGACGGATAAACTACATCAGACACTAAACCCAGACGGCTGTGTTTACCCGTCCACACCCTTCACCTCATTCATCTCCCGCACTATAATACCTATATCATACTTATCTGATATAGGATGGTTACACATAACCCCAGGTCTCAAGCCACGCGGGCCCAGACGCCAAACGGCTCCCTCTCACACCCCGCCGGATTCCTCTCAAATCCTCTTTTCTTCTTTCTTCTCTCTACTGCAACGTCAGACCAACTAGCCCGGATAGTCAATTCAGTTTAGAAGAGAAAGAGAGAGAGAGAGAGAGAAATAACGGACCCTTCACGTCGTACTTGGCTTACTCCAAAGATGACCTCATCCACTCCACATCCCATCTTGCTTCCTGCCATCCCATCTCACGTCCCCCAAAAAAAAGCCTTCGGAAAGTTTCCTCCCAACTTAGACATACTCAGTGTAGTGAGTCTGTGGCTTCGTGATACCCCATCAGATACAGTAGTGGACTTAAAGTTACCCCAAAGTGACATACCACACACACACACACACACACACACACCTCATCCGTTTTTTTTTTTTTGTCCCCTTTCCCCATTCGACACAACCTCCGAGACCTGCACCCGAGTCAGTACGCTTGCTCTCCCTCCCCCGGAGATGCTGCCCGTACTCTCCGCGCCCTCCATGCCAGTTCTTTCATCCACCACACCACAAAATAATCCAACGGGGCGGGAAGGGGAGGGGGGGTCCCGCATTTTCCCCAGATCCCAAGCCCGCCCTCAGCCCACAAGAGGCATCGCCGCGCCGCCGACTAGTGCCACCGGTGACGTATCGTGCTGATATACGTGGGTAGCTTTGTGGGTTTATGGAGTTTACGCGGACTCACGCCAAGTAGGCTTGTGTGGTCTCCGTTCCATCATTGTACTTTCAAGGGGCATCATTAGTATACAAACGTCAAGTGTCAACTGATATTCCCATGCTCGAGTTATCAACAGCTAACAAAGGCAGATACTCGAAAGAAGTGTCACATTACATTGAATGAGAAGGCGGCCGAGTTGGATCAAAAGGGCTAAATTCAAGTTGATATCAACATCTGAGAAATTCAAAATACTCCTGAATCCCCCAAGGCAACAAAAAAATAAAAACAAAAACAGACGTCCGGCTCCGGTGAACTCACAACCCCCTTTGATATCGATTCATGTTATCTTCAAAAGATGCCAATAGCGCCGTCCCCTCGACCCTCGCAGTTGTCTTGTTTCCATACGAATAACTCTTCCCGTTAATTAAAAGAGTCGTCCTCCCCCATAAAAATGTGCTTTCTTTTTGTGTAAACCACCGCCCGCCGCCCCCCTTTCCGGGGAAAAAAATAATTTGATATGCCCCTTCGCTCATTAAGGTTTTGTTGCTTTCCATATATCGCCAATGACTCCAGCTATGTGCGACTGAACTGTGTGCCGTTTTTTCTTTTTTTTCTTATCAATGGACGGGCATTGCGAATCAAGTCATTAACCAAAGACAATCGTAACACCCATATCTTCACTGACCCTCCTCCACAGATCGCCCCCCTTCCCCAGTCTCTGGAGAGGGTTGGTTGTCGAGAGCATGGCGGCGTCGTCATCATACCCGTCAAACGTGGCGTGATCATCAATCATATCCGCACGTCTCCAGACCTCTTGGGCAATCGTCCATGCACGCTGGATATTGGTCATGCCCTGCCGCCGCTCAATCGCCACGAACGCTTGCTTTGCACGCTCGCGGTCAACCGGGTTGATCGCCTCACACGCAGCCACGAATAGCGGCCAAAGTAGCGCTGCCATCGGTCCCGCATGTGAGACCGTTGCGGCGCAATGGCTCAGCGCAGCATGTGTGTGCTGCTGTACCAGTTGGTGACGGCGAGAATATCCGTATATACTGCGGTATAGATATACGAACGCCGAGTGACGATATGCAAGTGCATTGTTCAAGATGGAATTCAACCGCGCACGCTCGGCAGCCAGCTCGGGCTCCTCTCCAGACGATGACAAGTCATTGAGCATGTCCGGGGAGAAACCGACAGGAAAGCTGGGCTGCCACTGCTTAAGGGCGTGCTCGATCGCGTCCGAGGTGGTCTCGAATTCAGTGCGGAGGACGGCGGCCTTTGTGAGCTGACCGTTTGCGACGGCGGTCTGCAGCTCGTTCTTGAGGGTCAAAAGATTGGAGAGGCGGTGGATAATGGGCCATAGAGTGGTGGACATGCCAAGGAGGGTGTCGACAGAGCTGAGGGGAGAGGTGGATGGGGAGGCGGGCGGTGGGAAAGGGATGAGGCAGCCTGTTGCTGGGGCGGTGGAGAGAGGTGCCGTGCCGAAGGAGAGGGCGGCAATGACATCGTAGAAGCGGAAAGCCTGGGAATTGTTAGTCTGCGTTGGCGTGAGACTTGGAATAAACGTACTCGTTCGAGGAAGTCGCTGGTGGGATTAGAGTCGGCGCTGCTGCCGCTCATGATAGCGATGGCACCCTTGAGATGGCCATCTACAATGTTCGATCGGCCCTGTTGCACAAGCTTTCGCAAGTTAGCTATTTTTCATCACACATTTCATGTATGCCGCTTACCACTTCATAATACACAAGCAGCATGATGGTCGCCAACAGTTCGTTCTTGTTCGCCTCTCCTCCCTGTTCAATCAGCCTCGCCAAGCCCTGAATCGCCTGATTATGGAAATACACCGCCTTCTCCTCAGTGTGCCCGCAGCCACGATTCTCCAAATGCGCGCTCGCAAGCGCGTAGATGGCGTTGGTGACGGTCGGGCTGCTGTGACACAGCGGCAAGACGAGCTGCTGAAACGGGTTCCCAGTTTCGGTCTCGCGAAGCACAATAAGGTGAGACATGATGTTGGCGAAGTGGTCGACCAGAGCGCGGCGGTTCGGGCGGTCAGCAAACTCGGCGAAGGTCGGCAGTAGAAATTCGAGGCGCGGTGACGCTATGGAAACAGGTGCAATCAGAGCGAGGTCTGGATGGCGTTGAGCCCGTGTGACGGCGAGGCGTTGTGACGCCGTTCCCGAGTCTGCCATAACCGAGTCTCGGCGAACGACTTCCTCATCCGCATCCTCGAGGGACAGGTTAAATGAGACGGCATCGATGGGAGATATCAAGGGAGCGTCGTCCTTGTTAGTGTGGTTGTGGTTGCTAATGCCGAACATCTTTTTGAAATCAAACGCAGGGCCTAGTATGTCGGCGGCATCTTCGGGCTCCTCCACGATGGCCTCTTCCACTATGCCCTCATCTTCGTCGTCTAGTGCCTCCTCCTTCCAGCGGCGAAGGGTGACGTCGGGGGCGGAATAGCGGCGGATAACAGCGGTCGCGCTTGTCTGGGAAGCCGTGTCGGAGCCCAATCCGGCGATGGAGTCACGCTTCTTGCGCTGTCTGGGCTTGACGGCCTCGTAGGCGCATTCTTGACCACGTTCTGCGCAACGTGCGCATTGCGGGCGAGCTTCATCGCATTTCTTCTTCTGCAAATCGAGGTATGTTAGACTCGCTCTGCCAAGGGGATCAAGCTGAGAGGAGGTATATAGAAGTCGAGAAAAAATGGCGACAAATTCGTCATCGTACCTTTTCTTTGCTACTCTGGTTGTTAGAAAATCGCAACTCAATTCCCGAATGGGGGTTTGGCTGGGGCGTTACTCACCAATATGTACATCCTGCAGGAGTCAAAGAAGGACATGTCAGAAATCAGATCAAAATACCAGAATGCTACCCGCCATGGCAAGCGAACATGACACGACGGGATAAAGGGGAGCGAGGCTCATGACAATAGAGCGAAGCTATTCGGGCGGCAATAGCGGCGCGACGACAGCGAGCGACCCAACAAACAAGGCGGTCGAAAGGCGGAGGCAAGAGGGGAGAGAAAAGAGAGGGATTGGCCATAAACTCACCTGATCTGGATCGTCTCTTGGGAGCCTTTGGCGGGGCGAGTTTAGTGTACAGCAACATGATGCTCACGAGCCGGTACCTGCAGGAGCAGGCATAGACATGGTGCTTCTCTTAAGATCGGCGAGGGAGAGAATGGAAACTTCTCGCGGGAGCTGTTGGTATATCGGGATGAAAAAGTTGCCCTATACCTACATCACGCACGGGAAGAGGGAAGAAAGCCGGCCAACACGAGTGAGTGGACCGAGGCTACTTGGGCCTAGAAGGCGAGCGAAAAGCGCAGGCTTTCACGATGTCGGAAGGGCCCGCAAAGTGACTAGATGGAGTACTGCGTACGGATACTGTGAGACTGGACTGGTCTAGTATGGGTCGGCGGGCGAGAGGTTTGAGGAGGTAATGTAATAAGGTAGTGAGAAGGGAGGGGTGTCCCGTCTTTTGGTGTCCGGTGGGAAATGGGGAGGGGATGCGTCGAGGTGGATAAGGCAGGCCTCTTGCTGGCAAGGTGAAGAAAAAGATCGTGGAGTCAGTCTGACGAGGGCGCAAGTCTGATGTGGATATTCTTTCCCGTCAGTTTTTTTTTTCTTTCTTTCTTCTTCCTCTTTCTCCCCCCTCCTCTCGAATCTCGTTCACTCAATAGCCGGCTTATCGGATCAGTGCCGAGGGCAGACGCAAGGTGACCGAAGAAGGGAAACCTTCTCCTCTCTTCTGGGCTGTGAATGTCGTTCTCGCCCTTCCTTTTTTTTTCTGCCGGGGCCACGAGCTTGGTACGGACTAGGGCCGGGGGTTGATGTGCTGAGGTGAAGACGGATTCGTATTGTTGGTCCGTTCGCTAAGGGGCGTGGGGGATGGAGAAATGGAGGTGGTACTTGCTGGAGAATGGCGAGATAGTGTATGGGGAATTTGGAGTGGAGGACACGAAACAGGAGGGAAGTAGGACTTCGTGCGAGTCAAGAAGAAGCTCGGAGAGAAGCCGATTCAAATAGTGAAGAGAGGTGGAAAGGGGCCAGAAACCGAGACGATGAGAAAGATAGTTCTCGAGGCCTAGACGATGGCGATTTCTCCAACTTTGCTCCAAACTAGGGCAAACATGACTTGGTCTTAACCTGGACCTTGACCTTGATTCTGGGGCGCCCCTCTGCCTTCCTTGGGTCAGCCATGTACCTTGAAACTTCTGTCACTGTACATCACATTACAGCAGTGAGTAGTACCCGAACCCAAGATCAGAAGCCAGCAACGGCGTCTTTCCCAATGCTGACAAGGCCGCTGGAAGCACGCACATCGTGACCAAGAGATCCTGGGAGGCTAAGCAGTACTAGAAGCAGAAAGGTGGAGAAACTTGCGGGGTTACAGCGGCGAATGTCGTGCGGAGATGGGTGTCACAATCTCCGTTGTCTAGTGTACTACTATGTATGTACAAGCTGTCGTACTAGTTGTCCGGTCTGGCAGCGGTGGTGGTGGTGGTCTTTAGCGAGTGTTTGGGTGTCAGCGAGAGGTAACGGTGAGGAGTTGGGTGTGAATGAGTGCCTTGGAGAGGTACCAGACCGCCCTGTAGGCACGGGAGGTATGTTGGAGTAAGGGTGGTGACCAGGGCCAGGTAGATGCTTGTAGCTAATGATTTGTTAATGTACTCCGTCCGTTTAGGAGAAATAAACACTGCCAGAATCGAGTTGGTCATGGGATGCTTCGCTCGAAAAGACTGCTCAATTGAAAGATGAAGGGCAGGGTAACTTTTCAATGCTTTGCTGTTTTCAGACATTGTAAGTAAGGTATGCCGTTTTTGGGAGTAAAGCGGACAGGTTCAGTTGTAGAGCGGGGACCGTCTTTCGGAATCATGGTCGGCGACCATCTTCAACCATGATCATGCAAGGCCACTCGTGTGGTGGGCGTGGGTGTTCGGTGCCGTACACTGACATCAAACCCCGGACTTTCCGACTTTGTAGGGATTCAATCTCTTGGCCTGACGCAAAATGCCACAAACAGACCAAGAACCAACCATCGTAGAGTTGAATAGGGTAGAAAGCAGGGCAGATTGAAGAGGTGGTGTGGCATAGCGCTCTTCGTATCCCTTTTTGAGTACACACCTGTTGCTCCTAGGGCGCCTTTAAGTTTCCCAGAGTGGCTGAACTATTCAAACCCGCTTCTACTTCTACCCAACGGCATTGCAGATTCTTTCCGCCGCCAACCCAACTTCATTCTGTTGGCGAGGTGTGAGTGGCTAGTCTCCTCATGGCAACTTCCCTACTGCTTTTCCCACGAGTCGGGAAGCATGTTAACGCAACACCACAACCAACGTACTTTGGTCTATCTTAATTATCCCCCGTCTGCGGTGGGAAATGGACCCTGCAGCGACGGAGTAAAGTTTAAATGGCGTGGCGGTTCGGACGCCTTGGAACTGTCGAAGGTGCCGGACGTGAGCTCCGCCTCAGAGTGCACCGTAATTGCCATTAGATTGCCTCTGTCCAGTAATAAAATACCAAGGCCTAGGGTTCCAGCCGTTTTGATTAATTTGTTATGGGGACTGAGTCGAGTCACTTGACTCTGCCGTTCTGCCCCCAGCCGAGCCGAAGTGTGTTAAGCTGCGAGCCGTGCTGCCCTTACGCGGCTGTCAGCGGGGAACCGAGATGCCCACTTCCTGCGGCCGCGGTATGCCGTTTTGCTCTCTGTAATCCTCCTCTCCAATGCAGGCCTCCACTGGATGGTCCACCGTTGACATGGGGCAGCACAAGTCTTGTTGTCATTTTCGACAATCGTGGAAATGACCACAGTTAACGTAGACAAATAGTCGACCATGCTGGCAACAGAGGGCACGAAGCCCTTTGGGTCTTTGTTTGTTTTTGGTCTCCTGTCCGTCTTGCCTCTTCCTTGTCCTCACATGTAACAAGGCACACTTTGTGACGACACGACTCCCGGTGGCTAACCATATCCATGATCCTAGATGCCATGCCGCCCAGTAAGCCAGAAGGTTTGCTTCCCCGCACTCTTGACCGCTGCTGATGTGTCCCAAGCCATGTAGCGTGCCTGAAATTGCTTATGACAAGCGTCTAGGCCTTTGGGCAAGCGGGATCCAAACGGGCATCGTGTGTCCGATGCTACCACACGCCTCAAGCTGGCTGGCAGGTGACGAAAGAGGGGAAATCGATTCTGGGTGCGGGTTGCGACGCTCGTTAGCGCCAGACCAACGGACCGTTTCAGTCAGTGAGGAAGAGGGAGAGCGGTCAGGGCGATCTTGTGGTGTATCGATGCAATGCCACGTTGATGAGAATATAACGGGGATCACGGCACATATAGTCTACCGTCGACGTTTGTCCCTAACTCTGCCTTTGCCCCTGTGATGGCACAAGTGGAAGAAGAGGTTGCAAATCCTTATGTGAAGAGGCAATCCATTGCCTCACACCGTGTATCACCTTCTCATGGTGCACCGTGGCAGAAGACATGCTGGCTTTTGACTGGTATCTTTCCGTGCCCTATTCTGGGTGGCAAATATCTCATGACGGCAATCTCTACTTTGCCGTATCGTAATGCCGGCAATGGCAGGGCAGATGTGCGTTACTTGAAAGCTGGCCCTGGCCCTGTCAGGCACAGCAAGATACAAGCACCAGCCGGGTTTGGCAGCAGTCTTGTGTAGGAGAAGAAAAAGAATAGAAAGAATCCGGGGAAGGACTCCCAATTGAGCATCTATAGTGGTTGATCAGCGGAGCTTCCCAAGGCTCTAGTGGTGACTTCCAGGGGGGGTGGTAGGCGGGCAAAGATGGGATGGGAGATGGAGACTCCGGGCAAGCGGCAGTCCAGAGCCTGGTTCCACATGGGACCTGCCCTGGTTGAGTCATCCACAGCGGGTCATCAAAGGAACGTTAAGGGACCAAAAAATAAAATCCCCACTGAACGCTCTGGCTCCCGTTGCTTTGAGTGCAAATCCACTATATGAGTTGGATCAAAAGTTCTGGTATTGTTATTGCAGTGGGGCCGTCCAGTAAGTACGTAGTACTTACCTGGGTCTGCTGTTGAGGTGAATGTAGTGTGGCTGCCTTTTGAAATATGAAGGAAGGAGTGAAGTGAACGGGATCCTCTTGGCTCGAAAACCCATGTTTTCCTGCCTGAGGCCGCATTAGCAAAAATTTGGAGAAGGCAGGTGAGGTGACATCGTAGGCAGGGCACAGGCAGGAACGGCAGGCAAGGAAGGTGAGAATCGAAGGCTGACAGGCACTTGCACTTGGGAGAGGGGGCAAGCCCAAGTTGTTACTTCCCTCTCCAGGCCAAACACCAACAGCCCGGATTCTAGGTACCCGGCCTGCTAGCCAACACTGCAGGTGCATGGGGGAACATAGTAATATTACACGTGTGTGTGTTTTATGGTTTTGTTTTTTCTGTCGAGGAAAGTGCGATCGATGCGATGCAACAATGGACACTCAAAAAGCAAAGAACGGAAGGCCCTGGTTGAGCACACTGAAAACCATGGCGGCTGCTTCCCCCCTCTACGCATTTAGATATTCTCTGTCCCTGCTGGCTGTGCAACCGTACTACTAATAAGGAAGTAAACATGGCCTGGTTTATTAATAATACCTTCCTTCCTTGTACATCGTACTCACCCAGATATTGTACCAATTCGCTCATTCTTGCTGTTGCCTCTGCAGGCCAAGCACACCTCCCTTTCTGGTGCGTCCTCATTTCCGGAAGGGGAGCAACATCCCACTTAAAGAAGTGTACACTGATACTCCGGATACTGACGCCTTCCCGCTACCACCAGGAAGAAACGCTCCATCTTCCCAGCACTCAGCAACAGTTATTCACCCTTCATGTTCCCCCTCTCTCTGTATGTGTATCTTTCTCCCCTCCCCAATCTTTGCAGTCACCCATCCACTTTGCTACCTATACCGTACATGAGATAAGTGCCATTTCATAATACCTTAGTAAACCTTTCTCCCCGCACCCGTTTTCCCCGCGGTGGCTTAAGCCTTTATATCAATGGCAAACACACTTTCCGTTGTTCTTTTCCGTCAACCTAGCCTCATTAACCTGGTTATCCGCCTTGACCATCTCTTTGTCCAACTAAACCATAAGTAGACAATGCAACCAGTTAGAGATCAGACAACGTTAAGCAGACCTTTGGCGGTTTAGGTCCTCGTTGATGGCACCTCTCTTCAGCTCTTCCCCCAATCTGCGACTGTTAGCAATGACCCCCCAACTTCGGACTTCCACTGGTACCCATTACTACTACTACGCAGTACCTTATCCACTATGGTAGACGAGCCCTTACTTCATATCGATACTTCTTCCTATCGCATCCCTTACGCATCCTGAAACTCCAACTGCATAATCCATCTGCGAACAAGCAGATCCAGCTGGCCATCCATGTTTTAATGCGACCCTCCACCTCCAATTATGGTCTTTTCTAGTTCTTCTCAGCCGACTGGATAACTGGCAGCATGTTCAAAGTGTCCAATGGTGAACGTTGGCATGAGAAACGGGGAGGCCGGATCAATGTCTCGCCGGCCATGTTGATTGATAATATCGAAATGGGCACATCCATCCGTTGCCCGACCTCAAAAGTCACGGCGAGACCCGATGCCTCCGACGACTTCCGGCCCGACCGACGGGGCCTCTTAACATGGATGAGCCTTGGGTATCACCGACTGGCTCCTCTCTTCTCCTGCCTCTTTCATACGTGAGCTTTTCCATCATTCATTCTCTTGGGCTTTAAGCAAAACGGATCCCAAGTACGGAGTACACACGTCGTCGAGTAACCAGATGTCGGTACATTGAGCTCGTTCGATATCGTTGGCTCTCGACGCGCTGAAGTCACTCGGTGTTGCATTCGTCTGCAGCCAACCCCCAACCACGACCACCCCTGGTCGTCTCAATCTGCCCATCGTCAAATCCGACTTCCACTCGTACTTACTCACGTCCCGAGCTCCTCCACCCACGCGCCGCCGTCTTTGCATGCTGCCTGTCCAGCCTTTTCTACGAGCTGCCGCTCCCGTTGGCCCTTGTCATTGACTTGCAGCCTGTGCCCCGCCTCATTGGTGGCTCGCTACACTTCTCTCATACGTTGCCCACATCCACGGGTAAGACAACCATCGCCGTGCCGCATCACTGCAGCCATTGTCTGTCCAACTCGTCAGCTGCTCTTGCGTGATTCGCTCGTCGGCAACGCACCAGCAAGTCTAGCAGGCACGGCAATCGAAACCATCGAAATCAAATGGGTTTCTCAAAATTCTCTCCCGCTGGCCTTCCTACATCCGCTGTTTTTTGTGGCTTTTCAGAGGCTGGTGCCGTCGTCTTCTTCGTCCCATTGGCCCCATGAGCAGAGCCGCGTCTTTCGTACGCCCCAATGCAGTTGGACAGTCAAGCTGACAGTCTGACACTGATAAGCCACTTCCCAAAATCCCATGGTCCCAGAGACACCCTCATGGGGCCAGGGCCTGCTGCAAGGTGTAGCCCTCCCATCACATATGTACGCACTCTATCCGTGTGTACCATAGGATTTTGCTCGGTTCCCTCCCAAATAGTCATGATCGCCCGTCGCAATCCCATCTTCAGCTGCAACCTGCCGCTGTCGGGTCGATCATGCGTGACTGAAGACAGTGGAGGGACATGATAGAGAACACAAATTCGCGTTTTGGTTCAAGCTACACGAAGGACGGCCCAGCTGCTGGGAAAGAGACATAACTATAATCGAGTCTTATTCTGTTGTCTTCAGCCCTATTGCCGTGCTTCTGATCGCCGATTGAGAGCGTGGAGTGGGACTGCTAATGGTGCGCTGCTGCGCTGTACTTTGCAGCTCAGCCCCAGACACACATGCGGTTGGGCTATCTCGATCCTCCTCCCACCCGAAAGTGTCAGCGCAACTTGCCAGCTTCATAACCAAAATCAACCTGCCAGTAGTGTTTTTGAGGGGGGTTCGGCCTTTCAAAACTTCCCCCCGACTGCGTCGATCGCTCAGAGCGCATCTTCTCACCTACTTTTACATTTCCAACCGACGACTCCCGATTTACTCCACGCCTGCTGATCCTGACATCCCTAAATGATCGGCGGGCTCCGAAATCACGCGCAGTAACTGTGGTTAGCCGTTAGGAATTCGCCACCATGAAGAGTCTCTCTTCTGGTTCACTATGCGCGCTCGGTGTAGGACTCAGTCTACTTGTTAGGAGTTCATCAGCGGCAGAATTCAGGAGGCACGATGGTATACACAGACTGGAAAAGGCCCACGTAACTGCCTTTGCGGACCTGGAAAGGAGAGCCCCAGTGTGTTCTCCAGGCTATACTGGGTGTCCATCAAGTTTGAATGGAGGTTGTTGCGAATCTGGCTTCGCCTGCGCAACAGATTCTTGCTATGCGACAACAAGGGCGCCTAGAACGTGCGGTGGCCATGTCGGATATTACGCTTGTGAGCCTGTGATTGGAAGTGGGTTCATACTGCTATTTCTACGCGCGACATTACTATAGCTAACTATCTCGTTCTAGATGGCTGCTGTCCTGAAGGATACAGATGTGAGAGAGGCAGCAATTGTGTCGCTGTATCTGGGGTTGTATACTCGCAGTCGTGTCCAGCCAGCTACTATTTATGCCCCGCTAGCCTCAGTTACGGCTGCTGCCGTAATGGTTTAGGATGCGCTGTGAGCGCTTGTTACTCAACGGATCCCTCAACATACATTCAGACAACAACGATAACGACTACGGATGAGGCTACACGAGTTCTGACCACGACAGTGACAGCAACAACCGTCATTACCCCCTCAAGGCCTTCTACGGCACCGCCAGCTAACCCGACTGTCGAGGCCGATCGCCCAGATCAAGTAGTTTTTAAATACTACCCTAGCATAATTCCGAAGGAGCAACCTATCAGCGATGACGACGACAGTAGTGACGGCTTGACGACAGCTCAGATCGCGGGTATCGTGGCCGGAGGTGTAGGCCTGCTTATCATCGTTTTAGTGGCAGCCTGGATCATCATCCGCCATCTCAACAAGGTCGTCCAAGCAGTTGAGACTAGTAACAGGGGAACATCGACAGGAACAAAGTCACGACCCTCCGTGTACCAGTTCAAGCCTACGCCCTCCGAAGTAGACGACATGAGTGTCGACCCGCTCATGATGTCCCCCCGACCATCGCACCGAAGGCGCGACTCTGAGACGACAACCAATACCAATAATTTTGCAAGCCCAGATTTCACACCGCCGTATAGGGGAACACCCGGCACAGTTGGAGACTATCAGCCTGTTCCTCAAGGCTCTGGCTCCGACCGGCACATGAGCTATGATTCGGCCTATAACGGGGGCTACTTTGACGTCGTGTCGGATCGGAGCCATCGTAACAGCCAGGGCTCGAGCGCGTGGATCGGCGTTCACCGCCAAAGTACGGATTCTCAAGGCACGTATGCCCACTTGCGGCACTGGAGTAATGCTAGCGAGGCAAGCAGTGAAGGTATGCAAGAGCTTGATTCGACGCCGTATGTGCCTGAGCTGGCGGCCACACCGGTGCCAGACGCAGCAGCAGAAGCACGGCGACGATCAGGGAGCGGTCTATCGGGAATGAGTCGACCAGCTGCTGTGCATCAGCGGAGGAGGAGCAGTGATGGAGGTAACGGCAGAGGCAGAAGCGATAGTTCAGCCGCAGCTGGCGGGCTAAGTGTTGTGAGTGAAGATACCGAGGTTAGTGCGAACTTCGGCGCCTCGAATTATGGGCTCGGACAGACTAGAACTGGCAGGTAACGCGGCTGGCTTCGTTCAGCTGGCTGCTTGTCTCGCTCAGTCCCACCGCGCCGGGGTCTTATCCATGAATCTCTAAGGCTGCGGGTTGTGCCATCGAGATACGAGATACGGTACTATCAGAGATGTGTGTGGTATCGAAAGGAAAAGGTGATGGAACGGCCATGTTTCAAACAAACTGTATTGCTTAGGTTGAAAGTGGCGGGTTTCCATAAAGAAGGACTGGTTGGGATATCAGATTGTGACATGCACCGTTTGGACATGTCTACATTATACTGGCTGGAGGATTGGACATGGTGGGAATATCTTCATCTCTGTAGAGGATGGGGAAAGGGTAGCCTGGGTTGCACGGGCTTGGGATACACCTCATTAGCGCAACGGCGTTTTGGTATCGGGCGCCAGCTTGCTGGCTTTACTGCTCTCGCTGCAATAATGGCCGAGAGTTGAGGTATATAGGCGTTTTAGGTCTTTGGTTTATTAGGTCTGGATATAATACATTGATACCTTTTCCTGGTATGCACGCAGCTGTTGTATTCCGCCTTGCCACGATATAAGCGTATGTGCTTATGATTACAAGCATTCGGGTTTTCGTTTCTGATCTACCATGTCCCGAGCCAATTTTGTTGCGCTTGCAACTCTCCAGATTGTCAGAATGATGGCGTCGAAATCTTTGGGAGTCGGGTACGATGTCTTTTGAAGGTGGTCATGGTAGTTTCACTCTACGATGTTCACATTGCATACTACTCTGTTTCTCGTCGAGGGGCATGTGTCGGGAAGCCTTGCCGGTCCAAACAAGACGCTACATGCCAATTCTATAGCCGACACTTTCTTTTTCAAACTGAATGCTGCTAGAAAAACAGGCTTCCCGACTTGATTGCTCATCATGGCTCTTGGTGTTGTCGTGCGATACTCTATGGCTCTTGAGGCTACGAGACAGAACATGGTGGTATTCAGAGCATGAGAAATATACTGGGGTCGTCTGAGATGAGACTTGAACACGGTTTCATCTATTGCTGCGGAAACACACGTCACTGCTGTAAGGGCTTTCACAGTCTGTTGAAGGGAAGTCCGTGTATCGGTAAGGCTTCGTTACTCGGTCAGGACCTAGGAACCAAACTTTGACGACTGGTTCTGCTGTCTGATGACGAGATAAGGCATGGTGGAAGATCCCGTATGCTTTATTCAGGGTGTTTTAGCCAGCAAGGCAAAATCCGCTCGAGGGTGTCGGTTATGTAAATACGTGGTTTGTATGATCTTTATCACGGCAGCGAGTCGGGGGAGTCTGACTAGAGGGAAGAGCGTGAGCTTTTTCGGTCTCAGTTTGCTTATATGTGAGAAGTAGTTTTATTGCTCCAAACCGTCTCGTGGGCAAGTTCAGTCACACTAATCATAGAGGAAACAAAGAAATGATACTCGTCTGGGTAGGAGTAGTACGTGCCATGGCAAGAATACGGGTAGCAGATGAACGACGAAAGCGCAGGCCGAACACAACGACAACACACAAGTGAAGACAATATAAACCAGAGATGAATCCAGTAGCAAAACTAACGTAGCAAAAGAAGCTAGAAAAGAGGAGCAAGTCGGTATTCTTCCTTTCCTAAGTGTTCCCGCCCGCAGGTTAGAGTTGCGGGGTATGGGGAAGATGCTCGTCTCTCCACACCCCGGCGGAGGGCGAAAGGGAATATCTTGTTCCTCTCGGTGGATATCATCGCGAGAGCGGGTTCTCTCGTCTGGGGGTCAGGGGGCGAGCAAGCAGCTTGTTTCCTGAACAACAAGCTTGTTATTTCCCATCCCTACCCCGTCCGTCATCGGATGGTCAGCCAGATAGATGCGCTCCCCGTTCTCCACACCACGCTTAAACTTCAACCAAATCATCGGATTGGGGAGGGGGGACCTGCGTTGCGAGGCGAGGAAGGAAGTAGACAATGTCGTTCTCGCTTGCGTCGTAGCGATGGGACGGGAAATGCGGCTCGAGGGAACCGTTTCACCATGTGTGGGCTGTATTGTATAGTAGGCGCCGGTCCTTGCGAACGTGGGCCTTGGCTGACGACGCGAGATCCCGTTTCATACACCACCTCTAAAGGTACTCACTCACTCGCTGGAGGAGAGATGAACATCTCTCTGGTATGGCCCTTTTTCCGTGATGCCTCTCCCCTCCCCTCGCTCTCTTTCGCATGGCAAAATGATTGGGGAATGGGAGTTCTTCCGCGGATCGACCGTGCCGGCTTCTCGGGAGCTCGGTAGCTCGGTAGCAGTAGAGCTAGGCTGGATATCACTGGGGGAAACCTCGGGGGCGACTGCTCCGTCGTTTAATCTGGCTCAGGGAAACTGGGGTTTCTTGCATGTTGGGCTTCTGCTCGCCTTGATGATGTGGATGCTCGAAGAAGGATAGCGTGGACGCGGGTATGTACTAGAGCTCGCTGCGGGGGAGGCGCAGACAGGTGGTCTGAGGCTGGAGAGAGAACGAGTGAGTGAGTGAGAGTGAGAGCGGTAAAGAGAGAGAGGGGACAGATGGGGTAGAATGGACGGGAATGCTTCGCGGAGATTTGTTGTCCGGGAGGGGGGAAGATACACAGTGAGAGCGCGAGAGAGGACCGGGGGTTAGGTTGATGAGGGGAAGGATATGTATGGGGGATCTTGGAGGAGAGGTTGGGGATGGCGGTTGGTCGGGTAAATTGGTCTTGGTCTCTCGTATGTGCTTGGCTCAGTAGGTTGAGCAGTTGGTCGCCACTCTTGAGGCGGGTATGGATGCTGGGGGCTTGGGTAAAGGGTAATATGGTGTTTAGTGGTGTAACTGCATTTGACGGCTCTGGCTGAGCGACTAGGTATGTAGAGCGAGTCAATCACCTGGCATAGGAAGGCCAAGATGGGGGCAATTGGATAGAGATTGGGATTGTGAACATGAAGATCTCTATCATTTCGTCTATGGATAACGGGGGATTTACTCCCAAGAAAAAAGAGAGTTGTTGTTGATGTGTTGGAAAAAAAAAAAAGATGGTATAGCACGTGGGATAGGCAATTCAATATTCGCCAAGTTCAAACTCCAACATGAAGGCATTCAACATCCAAACAGTCAGGACATGATAGCGATGACGAGTCGAAGACAAGGGCAAGACCAGCCAACAGGGGACCAACAGCAAACCCAAGCAGTGAGCTTCGCCGTGGCGACAACGTGCCATCGCCGCCAAGTGGTGGATTTCCGGGATTCCCTACGCCTTCACCGAAGCCCCTGGCAGCGAACGGTCCCCGGCACCACACGTGCTCTAGAGCTGCTCAATGGCGGGGGTGAAATATGCTATGGTACCTGCGTTCAAGCCTCAAACGGTCTGTCGGATCTTGGAAAAATTGAATTGAAATGTTTTTTATTTTTGTCTGTTTCCGTAGGAAGGTCGGCGTCAGGCCGGAGATGAGACCTGTGGGCTTTTACCCTTAGTCTCACATCGGGGATTGATCCGTGGATGGGACGCTAGCCTTAATGATGGGGAGATATGGGCTGGGAATGGGACACAAACGTGGGTTGAAGTGGAACTCGGCTGGACCGGGAAGGGCACAGGAAGCGGGTTGTGGGATGAGGATCAGTTAATTGAAGACGGGAAAGATGCCCAAAACAGTTGATGATATCTTTGGTGGGTTTATGGGATGAGGCTTAAAGTCAGGGTTGATTGAACCCACGTGCTGTTGAGTGAAAGATTCAATTGACGAACAAATGGAGGGCGGGCTGGGCTCTCACTCTCACTCTATCATGAGTTGAGAAAGAGATTCGATTTGCCTGAGTGACATAGGAAATGAGAGGCAGCTTAGTCCAGCAAAAGGTCCGGCCGGAACCAACCACCAGTCATTGGCCACGCATCAACCTTGAGCTGCCTCTTTCGGTGAAGTGGCTCCTGGCATTGGGCGTGGCGCATCCTAGGCCCTGGTTTACTGGGTAGTTGACTAGCTGGGATATACCGCCCATTTTCCCCTCTGATGTTTCTCGCTATCAGTTATGGTGAGCTAAGCTACTCACTATGACCTTCCAGAAAAGCCAACCGCCGATGTAAAACGGGTTCGATCGGTCTCGAAGGCGAATCTGAACCAAAAACGGGCACGATGTGCACAGACTTTTCATCATAATACGCCAATGCTAATGTCGAGTTTAGAAGCTGGTTTTCGCCGACCTGGATCATCATCCAGCTCAATTGACGAGTAGGATGCAGAGTAAGGAATAAGTAGATATTGTACGTATACTCTAGACTACGACAGTATGCTCGCTCTAATAGAAAATGAGGATGGTTACCTCGGACAAGAAACCTACTGGACCGGCTACGCCCCGGAAGCTTGAACAGAAGCAAACATTTAGTGGAGCTGGCTCGTGTCATGGATGTCGGCATGCTACGCTGTTGCTTTCAATAGTTGTATCCCAGCACTAACTGGGTCTCCCCCCCCAAAGGACAACTGAAGAGCTTCATAAGCATAAAGCTTAGGTTCATAACACCTCCCAGTACTCCGTACCCCGTCCACACTCCGGCCATCGGGGGGTACTCTCCAGTGCGTGGACTGATTATCGCAGGGCGGATTAAATAGATCTGGGCTGTCGCGTAACTTAACGAGAAAGATCCACGTCAGGCTCCAGTCTCGTCAAAGTTTGTTCCGTGCGGTAGAGGGCCTGGACCTTCGGTGACAAGGAGCCTTGTATTGCTTGAATTGATGTTGAAGTTTTGAGATACTATGTGGTGAGATCTGTTAAACCTCCATTGAATTACAACATCGACTATCGCAACATTGACAGTTCCCAAATAAAACTATTCATGCTGTACGACGGCGACCCTCGCGAATCGATCCACAACCGGCATTCAGGCCTCTGAGAAGAAAGCAATAGTACAAATCACAGCCAAGATTGCATCGGATCATCGCCGACGGCATCACCACCAATGCAGGTCGGCGGCGCGGCCCCTTAGGCGACGTCCTCCCATTGGTTGTCTTAATGACACTAACGATTCTTATCCCAATTCAGCCTTTTCTTCTCCTTCTTCACCATGAGCTGCTCTACCTCTCTCCCACTCCCCGGCTTCTCCCATGTCTTTTTTTTTTTTTTTTTCCTTCTCCTCATTTCCTTATGCAAGCCAGGCTCCCCCGCGGCTCTCCCGATGTGACGCTGGAGTCCTCGGTGGAAATATCGCGAGCATGGCCGCCCGCCCGAATAACAGATGACATGAGGGGAAAAAGGAAAAAACGAGGGGATGGCACGAGGCTATCCCTAATCCAAGGCAGATTGCAGAAAGTTGCCGGCAGCTATCTGGATTCTCAGTAGCGATTCTTCTTGGCTCCCCTCATCCTACGGATAATTTGGTGATTTGCAGAGAAGCGGCAAAACCAGCAGTTGAGATCTACCACCGGACGCACTTATCTCCAGGTGTACTACGTATCCGTGCAGCATAATCTGGAGATTCCAGATGCTGACCGGGGAGGGGGAACATGTCCTCGGCCGCGCGTGGTTCTTCCGTAGACTAAGGATAATGATCGAAACATCCTTCACCGTTCTTATCCCCCATCCGTGAGTCCCAGGCCGCCAAGCACAGCTATTATCCTTGCCCAGCCTTTCTTCGTGTGTTTACCCACAGCTCACTTTTCAAAGCTCACGCTTCAAGCGGATGGTCTTTCCGTGCCGTTGCGCCTCGGCGCCTCTGCGCCAATCGCCTCCGCACCTGATGGTTCCGTTGCCCCAATCGAGGAGATGAGAAACGCCATGAAAGCCCAAAAATACTCAGAGTCAATGACGGCAGAGAGATCCTTTGGCTTGCTTTTTCATTCTTTCTTGTGTGGATGTAGGTATCAAGACAGCTGCCGCAGCCTAAGCTGTTGTGCCATGCGATTCTCGATAGCTCACTGGCACATTGTGTCCAACAGCCAAACTTTGTGAAGCTTGCTGTACAGGCTCATCCCTTGCATTCAGCTCACCTCACTGGCGAACGACAATGTCTCTCTCCTCTACCTGCCTGCCTGGGGGGGATAAGCACCGAACAGCGTTGACCCTTGGCGGGTTGTTCAGGAACCCCCGACGTCCGGCATCGGGCTAAGCCGAATTGGACCATCTCCCCCGCCGTCATGGTTTGGCGAGGGGGGTGGTTAGTATGGAAAACTATTCCATGGTTCCCCTCGACAGCCAAGGGTCAAGAACCACAGAAGGGACGCACGCGTTCCTCGACGGAATGCTAGGGCACAAAAGAGACACACAAATGTCACCCTGTGCCTTGTTCGCCAGCCAAACGGTACCTCTCCAAACGAGTCCACCTCATCATAATCCTACGGATACGCTTGTTCTCAGCTGCAGTAAAATGATGCTGTAGTTCGCCGCCGCCCACACACTCTCTCAACCTGCCTCATGCGGACGACCCGGTTGCTGATAGGTGGGAAATGCCACACCATGCACCTGGACGCTCTTTGATGCCCTCGTCTCTTTTTTTTCTTTCCCCTCCTTCACACCCTTGGCCCTGCCCAGACTCAGGTACAGGGTGTTATTGTACCGGGTCAATGTGCGCTGGTTTCCCTCACTCACGATGTTTGTGGTCATTGCCTGTTGCTAACCACCATAACCACCCCTGTCCGTTTGTCCAAAGGGCCACCCCCGGTCTATGACCCGCCTTCCCTTCGCCTCTTCTGGGCGACGCCCAGAAGGGCGGATGCGCTCCGCTTTTGCTCTCTTCCCTCTGGTTGCTGCGGTTCGTATCGACTGCGGCATACTATACCGTAGTTGCTTGCTTTCTCATCCACCTTTCACCTTAGTTTTGCAGCAGCAAGGTAGGCAGGCCTATCTACCCGCACATAGCGGATGGACATGGCCACCACCACCAATCTACCCGTTCGTACACCACACACCCCCGGTACACCCCCATCATGGGGGAGGGCAGATGGTATATATCAAGGTGCCTTCGCCTCCATGTAACCCGTCTTCCTTTCCCCTTTCCTCTCATCACCGACTTCCTACCAGATCCATCCAATCAAGCCATCCCATCCATCTCTAGGACCTCAGTCGATCGTCTGACCCTCAAACCGTCAAAATGAAGGCCTCCGTCATCCTCTCCCTCGCCACCCTTGCCCTCGGCTCGGTCATTGAGAAGCGCGAGTGCGCCGGCAACAACTGCAACCGTCAGGTCACCGGTACCCGCGAGGGTCTCCTGCCCATCTCCTCCCGCAAGGCCGACTGCTCTTCTTTCCTCCAGGCCACCGTCACCCCCTCCCCTACGTACGTTGTGTTCCCCCCCCTTTCCGATATCTTGGGCAGGTCTACGGAACGGCTTGGCCTCGAATAGTCGATGAAGCAAGAAGAATTGGAACTAACACGAAACCTGCAGCACCGTCACCGTCACCATCACCGCCGCTCCCGCCCGCCTCCGCCGCGCCGGCCAGCTCGAGAACCGCCAGGTCACCGCCTACCCTACTCTCATCCCCGCCTACGCCTCTTCTTGCGACGACGCTGCTGAGTACTCCTCTGCTTGCTCTTGCTGGGGTATCACCGCTGTCACCTCCACCGCTCCCCGCCCCACCGTCACCGTCACCACCACCGTCGACTACTGCGAGGGTAAGTTCTCTCTAGAGCATGCTTGAAAAGTGTGAGAGAGAAAACGGCAATGCTAACAAATCATCACAGACTTGTAAGCGTCTCGTTAGACGTGGCGATGTTGGGACTGGCAGGATGAGAAAGGCCATTCGTCTTCTTTTCGAGGCCCGCTGCTTTAGCGCGAGTGGGAAGGGGAGGGTTCAAATGAGGCGATGATGAAGTCTGGATGGGCTTGGATGGGAGGTTACCGTCGTGCTCGCCCTCCCCTTGGGTCATTATGTGTTCGCACTATGATATAAACCCCCCTCTCGACTACGAATTCAAATGGCTTTGATCATTCATTTTTCAGTTTCAATCCGGGGAAAGACGGGAAAGCTATCTGTTTTTATGGCTTCTTGACGTCGGAACTCTCATCTACTTTTTTTATCCCCCTTCCAACCTCGCCCAGAGCACTGGGGGGTTTCAAAAAAGGGATTCGGGTGGTTTGGGGCATGCATTGTTACGAAGGAAAACGTTCATGACTGACTTTTTTGGAATGGAAAGACTGGCGTGGCCTTCGTTTGGGTCGCGTTTTAGTCTTGCCATTGTTACGATATTCGCATTCATGTGTAATAATTAAGACTAATTCACCCGATATGTCTGAGATTGGTTTGCCTGTGAATTACATCGATGGGACTGTGGATTGATGTTTGTCGTATTCCGTGACGTTTATGTGTATTGTTTTCAATCTGATCTTAGATTCATTACGTTCGCTTTCATCGGAGGGTTGAATGAATGACATATTCACCGGTGTCTTCTGAGGGCGGAGACTTTCTGAAGATAATTGAGACCTGATGCTCACGAGCTGAGACGAGACACCAGGCAGCCGACTTATCCTGATGTTGTGTCTCATAGCGAAGGTAGTTGCTTATTCGCCAGACCTGGTGTCATCCCCCCCCAAAAAAAACCTAAATGGCTAACGATTCTGAGGGATTTCAATATTGGTAGCTCCCAGATCCCTGGTTTTCAATTTTCAGTCCCCCTGGTTTCTGCAAAATGCCCAAATGACACCCATAGTCTTGTCAATTTATTGCCAACCTTGAACTTTACTGTTCATGTAGGTAGTCGAACCAAGGACCCTGAGCCTCATTCCGTCGCACAACTCAAAAGACGTTGAACATGCCGCAGATTGCGTGATACGTCCGGCATGCCTCGCCGGCCGTCCCGTCCCATGACGCTGGGTCCCGTTCGATGTCGATCTTTTTCTACACATTCATCCGAACTCTGTTTCGCTGCTGTTACCCACCCGGTTCCCCATCGTCTTCCCAGCATTTCCCCCATAATTTGTTTCAGAGCCTGCAGCGAGGGGGTTCCATCCGCTCACGCATGTCATTTATTGAGGTGGTCGCAGTGGTTTGCTGAGTGGTACTGTGTAGGTGGTCAGCCCAAGCCGTCGCTCAAAACATCCAGCCAAACACTATATCAGCGATCGGTCTCACATTGCACCGGCTGATTTCGTTGGCAGCCAAGAACCTGAGGTAAGGTAACGAGTAGATCGCGCACCGATTGGCCGATGATAATGTGCGCAAGGGGGAGAAGACCTCTCACCATCAGTTCACCATTCAGACAAAATGCCTCCCTCCAAGCGTTCCTCCACGAGGCACAGCGTGAAGAAACCACCACAGCCGCGTGAACATGTTTCGTACAATAAGAGACATTGCCGTCGCCCACTTCAGGCCCGCCCTGGACGCCGTCTTCTTCGGCCACCGCCTCCCTTGGTCCCTCCGCTGGCGCCTCTTGGCCTTGCAACCCATCATCTTCCTGACGCACTCCCTAGCTCTCGCGCCATACATCTTCCGGCGCCCTTATGCCGTGCGCTACATCCCCATCAGCGATACACGCTCCCTTCGGATCCTCGTGTTTAAAGAGCCCGGCAAAGGAACAGGTCTCCACGGCCTCCTACGGCCTCTCCACGTCGACTGCCACCCCGGCGGCTTCGTCGGCGGTATCCCAGAGGCAGACGCGCCTTTCTGTTCTCTTGTGGCCAAGGAGACCGGCGCCGTCGTCGTGAGTCTAAGTTACCGCCTCGCACCGGTCCACCCGTTCCCCGCAGCCATCGACGACGTTGACGCGGCGTTGAAATGGCTGCGAGACCACGCCGAGGAGGAACTCGGCGCCGACCCGAGGCTGTTGACCGTCTCCGGAGCCTCGGCGGGTGGTAACCTCGTTCTAGCGGCGAGCCAGAATATCCCCTCGCCGGAATACGCGATCCGCGCGTCGGCGACTTTTTACGCGCCTCTAGACCTGCGGCCGAAGCCGGAGGAGAAGCCGCGGCCCGCTGGTCTCCCGGCAAAGGACCCTTTGTCGTTCATGCTCGCTCTGTATGATTCGTATGCTGCACCTTCCAAGGCGGAGAATATGGACAACCCGAGACTGAGCCCTTACTTGGCGCGTGAGGAAACGTTGCCGGAGAGGATGGTGCTTGTGGTTGCGGGGATTGATATCACTGTTCACGAGCAGTTGACGTTTGTTGAGCGGGTGAAGAAGGAGCGGGAGGAAAAGGGGAAAGATGGGGGAAGCGTCGAGGCGTTTTATGTCGAGGATTTGTTCCATGGGTGTCTTGAGGGTAAGTCAGCTATGCATTCCAAAGATTCTGGGATTAGACTGATGCTGAGTTTGTGCAGTACCGAATGTCGTTGTCCCTGTGAGTAAGAAGATGGTTATGTGGCAGAGGGGTCTTGATGTTATCAGGGCCGCCCAGGAGAGTCACGGCTGGCAATGGAAGAAGAGCCTTTGATGGCGGGTGGTTGTATCATCTCCCTGGCGGCGATGGTGTACATGTACTAACGTTATTCACGAAGCATCTCAACTTGATCTATGTGACTTTAATGTCTGAAACTCAAAATAATTCAATCTTAATATCCAGATTACTTGGTGACCTTGAAATTCGTATGCCGGGCTTAGACAGGCCTTTTGATTTAGCCGACTAATAGAGAATGGACTGGCCAAATTTTTACAGTCTCTCTTCTTATTAAACTCGGGTTTAAATCCCGAGAATAATCAACGATGAGCAAGCAGCATGAATGTAAACTGTCAAAACACTATCTGTTGTCAACACGGAATGGAAGTTTATCTCATAGTTGAAAACGGTGCCCTAGCGAGACATTCCATTTTAAAGGTGCCCATATCTCCTGTCAACCTGCTTGAACAATCAGCTGTATGTATAGTACGCTTTCACCAAGGGAAAGCAATACCAATGATGGATAAATGTGCAGTAACGGTCTTGTAATCAAGAACATTGTAGATCATATGGATTATGCAGAACACGTAAAGTAGGTATTTCATATGAGTGTATGTGGTAAAAAGTACGTTGTACGCATCAGGTTCAAATTGTGAAAATAACAATCATTACTTGTTTGTGGCAGAAGTTCGATAAGTGCTATGCAATCACTGAGCGAATAAACACATGAAAAGAATAGACCTAAACGTAAACATCGGTCCTTATTAAACACCAATACGCACATTAAGAAAATAGCAGTTGCGAAGAGCCAGTAACATTAAGACTGCTACTTATGTGAAGCTGAGATGTCTCTGGGAATATGGGCTGCGGCCGTAGATCGAATAATCGCGAGATCCCAACTCAAGTTTGGAATCATAAAACCAAGTAAAAAGAATCGTGTTTTCATTCAATTTTACGACAATCAGACACGATGTGCTCTAAGCAATCAGATTCGAGGTTGTACTATGGCTTATTGGAGTACGGCTCAACTGGGTCCAACCAGGAGCTCGATAAGATAAACGATAAGATAAGACGCAAGATACCGATAAGACACCTTATCGCCAAAAAAGTTCTTTTCCCTTTGGAAAGCGACTCCCCGCCATTGTCCAGCCATCAATCACCCCGACCGATTGAAGCAGACCGCAACCATGGGAAAGCGCAAGGTCACCGCTCTCGAGAAGGTCGATGCCGACTTGTAAGTTCATCACTGAGAATATTCCCACGCAGTCGCTAACTTTTGCAGCGCGACTCTTCAGTACAAGATCCGTCGCGACCCCAGGTCCTACGAGGAAAACTTCCTGCAGCAATGGGGCCAGTACGAGAGTCAGCGCGAGGTGTTCCTCGTCTCGCCGACGACTGCGACAAGAGACTACACCGAGTCCTTCCATAACCTGGTCGATCTGATTGCCCACACCGCCGACCTCTACCCCAAGCACGCCGCCGCGTTCCCCAACGACCTGAAGGCGATTCTGCTCCAGCACCATGAGGTGCTGCACCCCGAGTTGCGCGAGAAGATTGTCGGCAGTCTGGCTCTCCTGCGTAAGAAGGAAGTCATTGACTCGCCCTACCTCTTGACGACGCTCTTCCCGATCCTCGTTTCCTCGCCGAGCAAGACCCTCCGCACGCTCCTCTTCCAGAAGATCCTCTCCGAGATGCGTAATGCCAACTCCAAGGGCACAAACCACCCGCTCAACCGCACGATCCAGACTGTCCTCTACAACCTCATCACAGCAGACCGCACTTCACCGAAGGCGCTGTGGGCCGTCAAGCTGACGAGAGAGCTGTGGAAGCGTCAGATCTGGACGGATGCAAAGACGGTAGATGTCATGAAGGAGGCGTGCCTGTCAGACAACGAAAAGGTTGTTGTGGGCGCCACCCGATTCTTCCTGGGTGGTGACAAGGAGCGTGAGGAGATGGAGGACGAGGACAGTGATGAGGAGCAGATCGATCTTCAGAAGATTAAGCATCAAATCGGCATCAACAAGAAGTCAAAGAAGCAGGCCAACGCCTACAAGAAGGCCGTCGCCAAGGTTCACAAGCAGGAACGCAGCAAGGGCAAACCCCACCCGCTCAACTTCTCGGCTTTCCATCTCCTTCACGACCCCCAGGGTTTCGCTGAGAACGTGTTCCAGAAGCACCTGCAGAACACCAAGGTGAAGTTTTCTCATGAGAACAGGCTTCTCGTACTGCAGCTGGTCACCAGACTGGTCGGTCTTCACAAGTTGACCATCGTCAGCCTGTACTCGTGGTTCATCAAGTTCCTCACCCCCCGCCAAGAGTCTGTCACCTCTTACTTGGCCTGTCTTGCCCAGGGAACGCATAACCTGGTCCCCCCCGATGCGGTCGAGCCCTTGATCCAGAAGATCGCCAACGAGTTCGTTTCAGAAGCTTCCGCCTCTGAAGTCGCCGCGGCTGGTCTGAACGCCATTCGTGAAATTTGCGTAAGACAACCCCTGGCGATGAGCGATACACTCCTGCAGGATTTGGTCCAGTACAGGAAGAGCAAGGATAAGGGTGTCATGATGGCTGCCAAGGGTCTGTTGTCGCTGTACAGAGAAGTCGGCGCGGAACTTCTGATGAAGAAGGACAGAGGCAAGGACGCCACCATGGGCTTGAGAAGCGGCGAGATGAAGCAGAGGAAGTACGGAGAGGAAGAGGTTGGCGGAATCGACGGAATCGAGCTGCTTGCCAAGTGGAAGGAGGAGCAGCGCAAGCTTAGACGCGAGGCAAAGGGTCTTCCGGCGGACGGCAGCGATAAGGAGGACGAGGAGGACGACGGCTTCAACTCGGACGACTGGGAAGTTGACTCTGTCGGCAGCGATGACTCTGGTGGCTGGATCAATGTCGAGCATTCCGAGGACGAGGATGATGAGCCCGTTTCTAAGAAGCGCAAGACGGGCGAAGACGGCTCCGACAATGAAGATGAGGCAGAGGAGGAGGAGGACGAGGCAGCTGAGATGGAGAGGATACAGAAGCTTGCGACAACCACCATCCTCACGCCCGCCGATCTCCAGAAGCTGCAGGAGCTGCGCCTGGAGGCCAGCCTCAACAAGACACTGGGTCACCGCACATCGAAGCGTGCAAAGGAGATCGAGAAGGCGTTGGCTAGACATCTTGACGATGGTCTTACGGCAGAGCAGATCGAGGCGCCTGCTAAGCTGCGCAAGACCACCAAGGAGGAGAGAGTGGCAATGGCCAGGGAGGGCAAGCCCGACCGTGACGAGCACAAGTCTACGCAGGCCATCCGCAAGTCCAAGAAGGATGCCGAGGGCAAGAGTACGACGAACAAGGAGAAGGCGCGCCAGAAGAACTTCTTGATGACGCTGAGCAAAGCCAAGCACAAGAACAAGCGTAGTTTGGTGCAGACGCGCAAGGTGCTTCAAGGCCATATTGACAGGAGTAAACGTGGCGGTAGACGGCGCAACGGCATGTAGACGGCGAACTCGTGTTATCCTTTTTTTTTTCTTACACAGGGGAGACAACGGTACATATAATACAAAAGTTTTCAGGCCAGCGTTGTTGGCGGCATGTCATTAAAAAGTCATTCTTAGCCGGGGGAGATTCTTTCGCTTTGTGAGATTGTTACACCATCTAAGTATGTCTAAAATACAACTTACCAACTCGAGGGCGAGAGCCTTCTATGTACTCACGGTTGTTCATTTACCCAAAGACTCCCGTCGTCTGGAAGCTCCCCGCCACAGCTTCCTTCTTTCCGCGGGCCAAGCTATCTTTCCCACGCGGTTAAAGACCGCAAAGCATCCTTCACAGAGAGCGGCGCCCGGGGCGCGGACGGGATTCATACAGCCGCACAGCTTATTATAGGCCGTCGACTGCTCTGGCAACTCTTCAATCGGGTCGGTAATGTTGTTTGATCCCTCACATCGGCTGCAGAGTCCGTTGGAGACACGCGGGCACGAAAGGCCACATATCGCGCAGAACATGGTCTCCTCCGGCGCCAGTTCGTCCATCGCTTGCAGCGGCATCTCGCCGTGCATGCCTTCGAACTGACACGAGTTGCAGTGAGCCTTACCTGGCAGCGCTTGGGCGCGCTCGCAAATCACGCATATGCCCTGTCCGCCGAAGAAGGCCATGTGAGCTGTGGTAGGGGTGTTGGGGAGGATAATACATGCCTCGCAACGTCTTTGACCAGGTGGCACTTGCTTTCGGTGGCAGACGTCGCAGACTCCCGAGCGGATATCCGAGATATGTGAGCCCTGGAGCGGCAACGGGGCGGGCTGGAATCGGCGTCCTCTATTGGACGTGTTGCCGGCGGAAATGCATTCATGACACTGTGCCCGGCCCAAGGCTGTGATGTTCCTATTGCACTGGATGCAGACGTGGTTGTCGCCTTGCGGGAGAGCACCTGCTGAGCTGTTTGCTTGACCATGTGGGCCGAAGGCAATGTCTGCGGCGGTGCATTCAGGGCAAAGGTCTCGGCCGTTTACCGTGTTTTGTCGGTGGCAGCGGCGGCAGCGGTTCGACTGAGTGGATGATCCTCGGGAGCCTTGATTGTCGCTGGGAATCGCTTGTAATGCCCGGGCAGCTGTGACCGAGTTTCTGATGTTTTGCTGTCGGCAGGCTTCACATACGGACTCGATCGGCCGGCCGCCTGGGCCAATGGCTGGGAGACGACCCATGGGGGTTTTCTTGCATTGTGGACAAACTCTAGACCACACTAAAGGGCTCGCAAGAGCGGACTGTGGATTAGCAGTATGCATAGAAACCTCGGAATCTGGAGAGGAGCGGAGGGTAGGGAAGTGGCTGGGAGGTTGTGTTGTGCCGGTTGGTGGCTCTAGGAAAGGAGGTACCTGGATGCCACGATGGTTATCGTTAGGTGATGAGATGGAGTGATACTTGCCTGGAAGGTAGAGATCTTGTGGCTGCATTCCTTGGACATTGTGTTGCTGTGTTTGTGACCGCTTGTTGAGGTTGGAAGGCGGGACGCCGTCGTTTGACGTCTGCTGCTGTCTCTTGAAGGGATACTTGTCGGCCATGATGCTTTCGTAATTGAGAAGAGGTTGTTAAAGAGTTTGTTTTGGCTTACCTGATGTCGTGAAAGAGAACGGATACTTGTATGAAGTAATACGCTGGCAGTGATTCTGATGTGAGTGAGTGAGCGATGCAAAATCATGGTGAGGGACCTTTAGTTATATAGTAATCCATGGAGCAAGATGATGACTGTTTTCAGAGAAAAGAAGTCAAACAGCAGCATTGTTCGTAAGATGAACAATCATGGTGAGAGTTTGGCTGTCTTTCACAGTTAAGTGCAGTATTCTTATTTCTTTACGTTGTTACAATGGCTAATTGTTTATGTTCTTTCACCATTGTGTGATATCAGAAATTTGAGAAAGAATTATTGTGGAATCTTCAAGATCACGTAGACAAAAGACTGGTAGCCTTGTCTATGCAAGGCACAATGGACTTGTTCATAGGCTGCGCATAGTTTCGGTCTCTTTGTGTTCTCATGTAGTAGCCATTGTAAGAGTCCACATTACCTCGTGTTCAACGCATTCTCTAGTGATTTTATGAAAGAACAGAGGGAACAACACCTGAGTTCTGGAGCAAAATGTAAGCCTCCAGTGATCGATGCATGGTTAAACCCAGCGAGATGCCAAGGGAAACTCGGTCGTTACCTGGTGTCACCACTCATGAGACGTTGTGGGGACAGGCCCGTCAAGCAAGGGTCCTCAGCCCTAACAGCCCAGATCGTCTAGTTGGTTAGGATGATACGTTGTGGTCTCTATTCACACAGCGATCCGTGTTGACGGCGGTTCGAATCCGCCTCTGGGCATAGTTAGTCGCAAGACATTTCTTTTGTTGTTTTTTCGTCCTTGGATATAATACATTTTTAGTTTTGTGCCAACCTTAAACGGGCAGGTGTAGGAAACTAACGGTCGGTTAAAAAAAAAAAAAAAAAACCGTTAAATACCGTTTGACGCAATCGGCCGATAAGCAACGGTGGGGTCACCGGAGAGCCGAGAGCGATCGGAATGCAAAGAAACCGGCCGTTGATAGTTGATCTCACTACTGAGACCTCTGAGACTTCCCGGGGCTGGAATACGAAAGGTGCACGGATGAAGGCAAAATTGCGCGGACTATCTCATCACATGCCAGCATGTCACTCATCCTTGGTTTCAGTGGCTACGTTCATCCTCACACACTCACCGGAGGGTCTTGGCTCTCACATTCCAGAACATGACCATCCTGCCGCGGTTGACTCCATACTGCCCGATATCTCAACATTGAGTCACATTGATCTTACGGAATGCATGCTTGGCCTGAGATTACCAACATTTGTGGCCGCCTGAGACTATCGCTTTTTTCTCCGCCATGGCTGTTTCTGATTGCATCATGACCTGCGTCTAGTACCACCTTCCCGCCAAGGAAAGCCAAGGTCATTCAATGGCCTCAAAGTAACCATAACAGGAGAACAACAATCGGCGAGCTCGCAACACGTCATTAGAAATGTTTTCTTTAGCATGTGAAAAAGCCAGGATATCTGGCTCTCTCGAATGCCCCAGAAAACTCGATTTTCCTCATCAAACCGTAAGGAATGTCCATATCTGGACAATTGGTTGTGTTATTGGGGTTCCAGACAGCTTTCATGGATCGGAATTCGGCAGTCTCGGGGAAATGCCACAACCATTGCGCTTCAGCCGTGGATCGGTTCCCGGATAGAACTCGTCGTCGTCATTGAAAGTGTAGGAAGGCGGAGTGGAGACAGCAATCTTGGGCTTCATCTTCTTTCCTGACGGCGTCCTGGGATGTTTGTGACTGGCGATTCCAGCGGGAGTCAAAGCTTGAGATGAGTGGGAAGACATATTGTCGGATGAAGCTCTGCAACGGTCGGACACATGAAGCAGGAAAGACGCCAGATCGGGACTATTGGCCGCAGCTTGATGGGCTAGAGCAAGTCCTGGTTAGCACGGACAGAGAACCCATATTGAGAAGGAGAAATCGAGGATGCAGCGTGGAAGGCCAGACCTGCGGCCACAAGGCGCCACGGATGGGTTGAGATTTGACATGAAAAGTGGAGGGTGAATCATACCTCGAGCAACCATATTCGCGGCCTCGGCCGCCTTGGATAGGTGGTAGGCTAGCTCTACTGCAGCACGGTCGTTAGCGGTTTGTTGTCGTGAGAAGGTGGGATGGTGCCATAGGAAGATCACCATCCAGGTCGCATGTGTGTGGGGGTGGGGCAGGTTTGTGAGACCGTGGGGGAACAGGTTGATGGCGATCTCAAAATACGTACCGTTTTGTTGAAGTAGAGGAGAGTATGCTGGAGGTGTGGTCATGATGGGAGTGAAGGACTGAGCAGATGGATTAAGATTCGGCTGCTGCGAGGCCGGGACGCCATCCTCAAAGTTGGTGGACCCAGAAGCCATGATCCTGTGGTAGATGCTCGTGATAAGTAGGTAACTGAGGTATAAGTGTTGAAGATTGGTGAGAGAAGATTTTATGAATCTAGTTCTCTAAGGCTGTTTCTCAAAAAGGAAGGAGCGGTGGGATCAGTCTGAAGTTGTCTCTTTTCGGCTTTTTACTGGAACACCAGTGTCATTCTTACAACGTTCTATTTCACCTTTACAAACTCAGTCACACATGTTAAGACAGAGGCAGAAAAAGCAAAGCGCCAGGGTCCTGTTACTGCAGTATTGGAAAGACTCTTGCTTCCATCCAACGTGTGAGAGTGGAGTCCACCACGCGCCCTCGGTTCAGTTCTTTGACACCAAATCTTTGACCGGTGATGTTTGTCTCAAATAGGCAAGACAAAAGCCTGCGAGTTATTACATAATAATGGTACAACGGTAACACACAGGAGAAGACTAGCGGCTCATGAAGATCTGCAATGCAGTGTAATCATCTCCGGGACTTACAGCTATCTAATATTGAACTACCTAAGGTACTGAGACAAGATTTTTTGGCCTAAATCTTCCATTCGCGAGGCTAGGATCCAAGGGTATACATCTGTAATATAGTGCATATAAAGTGTGACAGTGGGGATAAAAAACGGTGGAGGGTAGATGAGCTTAGGCTTGAAGTCGAAATTAAGTTACACCTTATCTTTCGACTTCCATCCTAGACCTATTACCACTTTAAACCTGACACAAGGTTCATGTCTGGCGTGCTCAAGAATTCAAATTGAAACAAGGAACCCTTTATTTTGTATAAACCATGTAAAGCTTGACCCTGACCCTTTTCTTGACGACAAAAGTGATTCCACTATTTGCCTGGGAGCAATTGTGGTTTATCTATAGCGCCACTATATATTGGGAAGATAATCTGACGCCGAAGGCCATACTATAATGAAACAACAATGAGTTTTATTTCAAGACTAAAAGAAGTTTGCCGGAATAATAGCTTCGTGTTTCTCGACTCGTTTAAGACTCCTTGGAAGAGAATGAGAAAATGAAGGAGTAGTCTATGCAGTAAGGAGTGATATACCGCCGATGTTGACTACTTGGTTCCCACTTTACGGGTGCTCTTTTTTCGTGAAATCACAGAGGTGGAGATCGGCCCTTTGCTTTACAATCTGTACAATCCTCGTATACGTGCACATGTGGCCTGGAGGCCCATCACTTCCAAATGCTGCTTGCAGTCCGACCTTCGTTGCAATGAGACCAGGGTAAGAGTGTCGAGAAACGTTACAATGCTCTTTAACGCATTGGAACACTTGGTTACTGCTTGGATAGGTCAGTCTTCAACCTGTTTTGCTGGATGCATGCCGAAGAAGCTTACGCAAGTGTGACTAACCTCGACGAAACCTTTTGCATGCCAGCCATCAAGGAACCTTGATGATCGGGCGCCCACTTTCAGTTGTGTGATGAATCTCACTATTGGCAGGCGTTTCTGTTAGTCTGCAAAAATGTGTGGATAACGGTAGCAATATCAAAGATGTATGTATGCCAGCTACCATCAACCTGTTTCGTGGCCCACAACGGTCGGGTCTCCGATATAGACGGAGGCGGCGCGGCTCGGAGAAGATGGCTTATTGAGGCAACTGCAATGTGATTGCTTGCATTGCGCTCTTTTCGGTCCAATGCCACCTTCACGGAGGAAAATGAGGCCGGCAGAAGAGACGTTTAGAGGTGTTGTAAAAGCCCATCCCATTGGAGGTCTCGAGCGACTGACTTTCCAGGTTGTCTGTGGTGCTTTTACATCAGCATCTGTCATCGATGAGAAATCTCACATATTCAGCAACGCGGACAATAAGTTGCTCCTTGGATGCGACAAGGTTGAATTTAGGCGCGACCGAACCGCGCCTTTCGGTGGAAGGATGGTGTGCTGGCTTTCCTATTCCGTGCCGCTCTTGTCTGGGGTATTCAGAAACGGCGGCCCTATTGTTCACGTAGGATGGGTGACGTGAGATTGCAGCAGCAGCAGCAGCAGCAGCAGCAATCTAGATGTTCCTAACAAGGATTGGTTCTGAACCCCGGGGTACCGTGGCGTTAACGGAGTCGATGTGTCCGCGTCTAAATCGTTCCCCCCACGGTTGGTTGGTCCCATGGGTTGCATCGAGACTTGGCTCGGGTGCCGAACGCTCCAGCAGATGCCCTCCCATGACTTCTGACGACCTTGACCGCGGATTGCGGGTCAGAAAATCATATCATTTGGACACACCTATGGAGATTGATTAGATTGCGTTGCAGCCCCCATCTCGATCTGGACCATTCGGGGGCCCTTCCACATGGCCAGGATTGAGGCATTGCACGTCCTCCACAAGGGCTTCTTAACCAGAAAGCTGTCAGTCACAGGACCAGAACCGAAGGAACCTGATGGCTTGGAGGTGGTTTAGTTCCAAGGAAGCTGTCCTAAAGGTTTGTCGATCCTCCGAGTAGATCCCGAGCTGGCCGCTGTGGGTGGTCATAGGCCGTCTGCCCTGCTGTGCCGCGAAGATTGATAGCAGACCCCATTTTTTTTCCTCTTTATGCGATCGTTTCGTCTGACCGATCACAGTCTGTTATATGCCGGTAACTAGCAAGCGATGGCACGGTCTCTTTCGCGTCATCTTTGCGGGCTCGTATTCCGCCGGCTAGACGGTCCAGGCTCGGCCGAGAAGGTCGTTGAATGCGACATCCACCAACATCAAAACTCCGCCTACCGGCTGTAAAGTTCTCCACTCCTTTGGCCGGGGCCCGTGATGTGTGTACGTCGAGCCGATGTCATTTGTGGACATTGTACGCCAACAAACTTCGGGCTGCCAAATTCTTGCTGTAAGTGGTTGCATCAAGCACACGCCTTGTTCCCATGTTCTCCGTGGTGGAGGCTTGCAGATTCGACAACGGAGTGTTGCGGAGGGCAGGGTTGTCGATGCTGGTTGCGCTGGTCTACCCAAGTTTCCTGTTTGAGTCGTCAACGGTCAGGCTCAACCCGCGCCGGACAGGGACATGGATATCTTCAACACACGGCTGCAATATTTTCTCAACATGGAAGGAGTTATTTCATGTGTCAATTGGAGGCCTCGGTGTAGGTGTGTGGAGCTGAGAGGCGTTGGAGATGGGAGGATTTTCAACGGCAAAACCCTGGTGGTTGATGCAACTCCAGACGGCTGTAAGTTGAAAGTGAGATGTTTACATGCCTCTTGCGTCCGAACCTGATGCATTCGGTATAGACGCATGCAGCAGGTAATCGGCCGTATCGAAAAGAAATGTCTCAAGAGGAGAAGTTGGGCAACGGTGACCCAAGGGAGGTGTCTGAATATTTAAGTCGCGAGGGTTCGCAGACGTTGGATCATTCAAACGGCCACAGGAGTGTTTACTCCTTCAATCAAATAAATATTTGGAATAGTCTCGTTCTTTTTTTGGAATCCATTTGGAATTCATCCCTGCCAGTCCCCCCTTCGCTGCTATTTTAGTTACCACGCAGCCAGCAGCCATGCACAAACAACTGGCCAGAGAATCGGCATCAGGTCCGGTTGGGCTGGACACCCTCCCCTTCACACAAGGACCACTAGCCAAACCCCAACATCCCACTGTCACAGCTGCTTTCTATCATCATGCAGAAACTCAGCCTGATGTCACTGCAGCTCGTGACCTATCGGCACCGCAGACCAAAGAGATCACCTACGGCGATCTCGCCCACCAAGCCAACCAGCTGTCTCGGAAGCTCACAACGCTCGGAGTCAAGCCCGGAGACCGCGTTCCGCTGGTGGTAAAGCGAGGTATTGACATGCTGGTTGGTATTATCGCCATCTTGTCGTGCGGTGCTCAGTATGTGCCACTAGACGGCGGCGTCGTTCCCGACTCTACGCTGCGCTTCGTCCTCCAGCAGGCCAGTGGCAAACATGTTCTATGCCTCAAATCAACAAAAGCTCGTTTAGAGACTCTGGGGCTGGCCTCCAGCATCCTGGTCATTGACGAGGATCGGGAGAACATCGCCAGGGATACGCAAATTCTACCTTATCAGGATTTAGCTGAGACACATCACGGCTGTTATGTGATCTACACATCCGGTACGCAATTTGGACGAATACCAATTAGACATATGGAAGTGATACTGACCAATTGGTTCATTAGGTACGACCGGTACACCCAAGGGAGTGGATGTCACACACAAAAATGTGACTAACTTAGTGTGCCTTTCGCCCGGAAACCTGGGTATGTCACCCGGAACCCGAGTGGGTCAGGTATTGAACATTAGTTTCGATATGGGTAAGTCACCGAATCATGGTGGTTTCACCACCCCACCAAGAAAAAGAAATGCTGAACAGGCCTTAGCGGCATGGGAGATGCTGGGTTGCCTTTGCAACGGAGGAACACTGATCCTCAGAGGCTCCAAGTGGGAGCCTTGTATCCGAGAGGTATGAGAGCATGTGAATATTTTGCGAGCAGTCAACTAACGCCATTTTGATAGATCCAAGTCTTGATCTGCACACCTAGCATCTTGGCCAAATATGATCCTCGTGAATATCCTAGCATCAGAGTTGCTGCAACCGCCGGCGAACCGAGCTCTCAGAGGTAAGACCTTTTACCTTCATTCCTTTTCTGGACTGTATCTGAATCACCGTACGGTTTAGACTCGCCGATCTCTGGGCCACTCACGCTAAATACTACAATTGTTGCGGGCCTACCGAGACCACTATCGTCAATACCATGCATTTGCACCAACCGGGGCAAACTTTGACCATTGGGAAGCCGACCCCGAACAACACTGTATACATCCTTGACGATCAGGGCAACGCAACCGACGTCGGTGAGGCTGGCGTGATGTGGGCCGGCGGCCATGGCATTTCCCGGGGTTATGTCTCCCTTCCGGGGAAGACAGCCGAGAGATACAAGCTAGATCCATTTGCCGATGATGGGTAAGTCTCAAAACCCAATGCCCAGAGCCAATGCTGACATGTTTTGAAACAGGTCTATGATGTATAACACCGGGGATCTGGGTCGTTGGAGACAAGACGGCTCAATTGAAATTCTGGGAAGAGTTGACGATCAAATCAAAATAAAGGTAAGTCGAGCTGACATCGGAAACGTAAAGTGTAAACATGCTTACTGGTAATCGAAAGGGCTTTCGGGTTGAGCTTGACGGAGTCACCACCTCCCTGAACACCTGCCCCGTTGTGTCGAGAGCAGCGGTTTTGTTCATTGATAACGAGCTTCACGGTTTCATAGCGCCTAGAGACTGTGATCTTGACACAATCCAAGTTCATATCCGAGCTCGCCAGCCATACTACGCCATCCCAAGCAAGTTCCACTTTGTCGACTCCTTGCCTCTAACCTCCAATGGCAAAGTAGACAAGCGAGCGTTGAAGGATATGGTTACCAACGAAACTCCCCTCAAGGGGGAGACAATTACGAGTATCAGAAAGATCGACTCAAATCATTCTCTCTCCACCGACGGCCAATCTACTGCCGTGGACGAGAGCTCACAGTCTTCCGCATCCAGCTTCACGGAAGTCGACGAGAAGCCTGACCTGGGCCGTGACATACCTGCCAAAACACATGGGAAACCGGTCCGTGGCTTCATTCACCGCATTGCAATTGTGTATCGCCGCTTGTTTACGATTGTCGGTCTTTTCAACATTGCAGCTGTTATTAGTCTTCTTTTCGCTGGTTTCAAGAGAGAATGGCTCGCGAATCTCACGGCAATCAACCTGGTCGTCGCAGTCCTCATCCGCCAGGACTTCGTCGTCAACGCTCTTTACACAATCACCTGCTCTGTCCCGAAGTCGTGGCCGCTTAGCATCAGAAAGAGATGTGCTAAGATTATTCACCTTGGAGGAGTCCACAGCGGAGCAGCCGTCTCGGCTGGTGCCTGGCTTCTCGCATCAAACATCAGTGATGAAGTTTGCCAGTTGACAGATTGCCCCAACTGGGGTTACCAGTCCACCGCCTCAAAGGTCATCTCATGGATGCTTACTGGTCTGTTTACTATTACAATTGGCCTCGCTTGGCCCTCATTCAGAAAGAAGCACCATGACATATTTGAGATGACGCATCGCTTCGTTGGATGGACCATGCTCGGAATGTTTTGGGCCCAAACCGTACTCGCTGCCAACGACGGAAAAGAACCGTCGATGTCCTTGGGAGAAGCCTGCCTTCGAACCCCTGGCCTCTGGTTGCTTGCAATTGCGACCCTAAGCATTGCGACCTCCTGGTTCTTTCTCCGAAAGGTTCCTGTGGATGCCGAAGTACTCTCTAATCACGCTATCAGGCTGCACTTTGACTATACTGTCCCTGTCAACGGCACAGCTTCCAAACTATCGATGCGGCCTCTCCTTGAATGGCATTCTTTTGCCACCATCCCGGCGCCCGAGAGCGTGGGGCAGCGACCGAAGGGATACTCTCTCGTAGTGTCTAATGCGGGCGATTGGACCAAAAATTGCATCGAGAAACCACCTACTCACATCTGGGTACGGGGAGTGCCTACTTGTGGAGTCATGCGCATTGCAACTTGCTTCAACCGGGTTGTTGTCATCGCGACTGGGTCTGGTATTGGGCCCCTCCTTGGGCACATTCAGGAACCTAGCTGCGCGACGCAGTTGATTTGGTCCACCCCAAAGCCTGAGCAAACTTTCGGAAAAGAAATGCTTGATTCCATCAAGGCCAAAATTCCAAATGCGGTGATTCATGATACGAAACTTCTTGGCCGACCTGACTTGGTCAAGATGGGGTACAACTTGGCAAAGAGCTTTCAAGCAGAGGCGGTTATCATTATCGCAAATGAGAAGATCACGAAGAAGGTGGTATATGGTCTTGAAACCAGAGGAATCCCCGCATATGGCGCTATTTGGGATTCTTGAAGGGAGAGATATGCTTCTTTATGAGTTGTGAAAGGTGTTTGGGTTTTCTTCGTCTCTTTTGTGTGACTCGGCGTTGAACTTTCCTATGCTCGATAGGTGTGACCTACGGTGGCTTTCTGTTTGCAGCTTATATTCTATCCTGGCCAGTACATTGATACTTATCATAAGTTGCTTTCCTTGTATTTGCACGAAGTTCCTGAATTTAAGTTGTGATCTATCCACATCAATGATTTGTCAATCGGTGTAAATATGCCTTGTCATCAACCATGAATATGGACAAACATATCCAGTGTCTTGACAGTACTCTACTATCTCTGTCGGACAGTGACTATGGGTTGCTTGCCTTGTTCGAACTTTTCCTGCCAAAGTCTAACTTCTCCCATTTCATGAGACAACCGCTCAAGAACGATATGACGCCGGCAGCAACAATCAAATAGTGATTCTTCGCAATCACATCCGCCACATGACCAACCGTGACCTTTATAACTTGCGGGTCAGCCTCAACCCAGATTTTCGAGTCGAGCCCAGCTAGTGCCTCTCTGATATCGCGGTCGCTGAAACCTAGGCCCTGAAGCGATTCTTGCACTCGACTGAACCCAATATTTTGAAATATGCAACCAGCCATGGCGAGAGTAATTGAGATGCCTGCTAGCTGGAACAAGATGAAAAGCGCGGTGGCATCCACGCGTCTAATAGAAGGCACATGCTGCACAATCACGACGATACCTGTCTGCCACATGCACCCAAGGCCGGCTCCGATCAGGGTGGTGACACCCATAATCCGACTTTCTGCTGTAGAGACGGTGATTTGGGCTTGCAGTGCGCCACCAATGGTGGTCAGGAGCCCCCCGGCCACGTAAAATGGTGCGTAAATACCGATGACAGGCATAGCGCCAGCACTGACAATTGCAAAAAATATGAAAGTGAAAATGAATGGAAGAAGCCGGACGGCAGCATCAACTGGGTCATACCCCTTTGTGAAAGCAAAGTATAGAGGGGTGTAATACAGGGTAACGCCGTAGCTGCTGCCAACACCGTATGTAGCGAGACAGACGAGTAGAACAGTGCGGTTCTTGAGCAGGTCTGCCGAAATGTTCCGGTGTTCTCTGTTGGTGAACAGACAAAACTTTTGTTGCAGAATGTAGACGACGTAAATGACGCCGACAAACACCCAGGCAACTATTGCTGATGATGAGGACCATGCCCATGTAGATCCGCTAAAAATGAGGGCGGAACAAAAGAGAATGAAGCCGCTCATATGTAATACCACGCCAACCCAGTCGACAGCTAGTAATCCTTTGATGACGGAAGTGGAGTTCGGGACATGTAGGTTTGGCACAGCGATGGTGCTGGCAAACATGATGATGGCCAAGACGGGGAGGTTGATGTACATGGCCTGAAATCCAGAACGATTAGAAAAATGGTTCAACGCAGGTGTTTTTGAGAAACTCACCCATCTCCAAGTTGCATTGTGGTTTTCCGCAAACGCGCCTCCGATGAAAGGACCAAGAATAAGTCCAGTAGCCCAGGCAACGGCCACGAGGCCTTGCACTCGTGGCAGCTCAGCTGGCGTGGCAATCATGATGTTAATGGTAAGCGCCCTTACGACCAGTATCAGTAAGAAGTTTGCATATATATGAAGAGAAATTTTGATAGCCTTGCTCAGAAATGCAGATACTTACAATTGGTAAAGGCCAGCTGCTCCTATGCCCTGTAGAGCGCGTCCAATAATCACCGCGTTAAGATTGGGAGCTGCGCCGGAGACTACAGAACCAATGAAGAAAAGACAGCAGTATCCGACCACCTGCCATCTCAAGTTTCCCAAAAATGCAATCTTGCGTACCAGCGGGATTACAGTAACATTCATAGCAGTGTATCCGACGGCGACCCACGAGAGTAGGTGGACTTGGCCGAAGGCCTCGTATATCGGTGCCTGAATGTTTGCAGTATTACTCACGTCGTAGCCTACAAAGCCGATGAAGCCAGTCAGTAAAATTATCGATAGCAAGTAGATGGTCAGTGTTGGCTACTGACCAAGAAGCAACCCGGTTAAGCAGAATAGAACTTGAATGCAGGGCCATCGCCACGCTGACCATCCCTCTCGAGGATGTTTCGCGGCCGAAATCGCACTATTCTCTTCTTTAGTTTCAGGAAGGACGCTACCAGCCTGCGAACTACTGAGCTCAATATCTCCGTCAGGATCTGGTTCAATCTTCGGTTCTCTTGCCATAGTTGGATGTTAAACGAGGCAAATTGTGAAGCTAAGTTGAGATAAAAATATTATGATATGCGCAGAGTCGACCCTCAAACAGAGTATGCGCAAGTATGCCACAAAAGGTAGAAATTATAAGAGTCAGGAAAGCTCAAAGCTATGATTATTTGTAAGATGTGGTAGCCCCGTCGAAGTCATATGGGTCTTGTTACAGTAAAGGTATCTTATCCCTCACAGCCGGGCCAGGGTCAGCACCACCTAATCTTCGAACTCCATACCATGCAGCTTTATCATGCTAGTTACAGCCTGTTTAATGGCGATGAATAGATCTGCACCAATGACGATGAATGAAAATCTGATACTGACGACTAGACTAGGGTGTTCGAAGCAGAGTGTGAGAAACAGGCGTCACGATTCGTTCCCATTTATGGTCACTGCTTGAAGACTCTATGTCAAGGACCACAAAATGGCCCTTAAGATTATGATAAGATTATTTTTGTAGAAATTGATTCCGTCACTCTAGCAAGCCCGTGAGATTGTCCGAGGCTTCCTCGCATTCTCGACCAACGAGAATTCAATGAGACGTCTTCGAATATGGCCCAACTGCCACGTGGTTTGTTGAAACATCTGAAGTAGGTGTACCTAACAAATCATCGATAAGGGAAGCACACCACCAAATAAACTAAGGATGCAGACGCAATATAAGATGACGGCGCAGAGGACGTTGTGGCCAGGGATCTTATGCAAGGTAAGCTTAGTATGCTCTGAAGGAAGGGCATTTTTGGCGCCAAGAACCCGTTTAAAGTACTGTTGCCACTTTTGTGATCGAATAAGGTTGTTAATTCCTCGGTATTATTTGGCATACCGAATCAGGCAAGCTGAAGTCATTAATAACCCCTAGGCAGTAGACATAGCGGTTAGTTTTAGACCACTTTGGAACGAAAGGTGCGCGTTTGAAATGTTGATTAGCTGTCTAATAACAATCATCTGTCGCTTATTGAATGTCCCTCCGTCGAGTGTGATACTGATTCACCAAAATCCCCGTATAATCCATCAGCTAAAACTACAATAATTCATCTGTCGAATACCGACCGTGGCAGCTGTGTCTAGAAATGAGTCTAGTTTAGCGGCATAAGTTTAATACAAATAAATCTCGATATTGAGCTCAGCGGCGAACTCTTCAGCAAGTTTGAGTCTGCAAGTATCAGGCCGCGTTGTCGATCTTTCCCACACCTGCGTAACGATTTCCCACACGAGGGTGTTTTGGTAACTCTCCCAGTTCTTCGTCAGAAATGAGAACAAGTCTTTAGTGGCGCCTCGTGCGACAGTGTCCTCTTCCGTGAATAGACCAACGATAAAAAGGGGATATAACAGCGCGGCTCCAAGCGGCTGGACATCCGGAAATGACTCTTTTCTAGGGCTCATGATGGCCTGGCAAGCTGCCAAGACCTTCAATCTTAATAGATCGTCGTTGGTCATGCACGGTGATGCTATGTTCATGGCCTCACGATGAGGAGTAGTGTCCTTGCGGGATTGAATGACCCTGCAATGAAGTATCGCCGCACTGCGGAACGCCTCCCACAAATGGACTTGAATGAGTTCTTGACAAGGCTCCCCTGGCCAGCTATGAAGCTTTTCTTCAGATCCAGGCAGGTCTAGTTCACAGATCAGATTTAGGAGTGAGTACGGGAGACCAGATGTTTCCTGGACACCAGTCAAACCCCTGGGCGCCACACAAGTGGACCATATTCTCAGTGACTCGCTAAACCTATTCAACGTGAAGTGCTGAACATCTAGTAGGCCAATTACCTCTATGAACTGATCGGTGAGCGGCGAGCCCTGAGCAGTGCTTAAGAGCTCTCGCTGCTGGAGGACCGCATGAAGCCCTCGGATCAGAGGCGTCCAGGTGTAGAGAGCCGACAACTGTGCGTGCTTCAGCATCAAGCGTTGTATCCAGAATTTCCTTTACTTACGCTCACGCTGCACAGTAGGATACCTGTTGCGAGTGTTGAATCGGCATTAAAGCCATCGGGCGAGTGGAGATCCTCGATATAACCAGAAATTCCCATCTGCAGGTATGTAGGCATCAAATGCCTATATTCCTCCACCAAGCTCGCTTGATATGCCGCAAAGGTATAGCGCAAAGAGCGAGAACTATTGCGCATTGGTATGACATCTGTTTTCATGAGCCCTCCTTCGCCAGATCTTCCGGTCAGTGTTAAGTAACCAGTCTCACAAACTAGACCAAGTCAGCGTCGACCTGATTGCTTGGATATGCGGACACACATTCGTCAATGAGCTTAGACATTGTTCTTTCGTCAGATGCGAGTGAAATGTCACCTTGGTACTGAAATTTCAATGCCTCAAGTACGTTTCTGGGAATACCACGGTTATGTGCCCGTGTATCGAGTTCGGCATTACGCACACCTGTTGTATCCTGGTTTCTATCCTCGCGTTGTTTCCGCCGACGCGCGATATCCCGGCTGATATTGCGCGGGCGAACTGGATTGAGAAGGACGCCGTCCCTAGAGGTAGTTTCGCTTGATGAGCCCCATATTAGTCGTTTGTCGTATCCTTCACACTCGAGGTTCGCTCGTGTGCAGCGATCACATGCAGGTTTTGCTTCATCGCATTTCTTATGCCGTCTCTTGCAAGTCCAACAACTGCGGCGGTCAGTCTCACTATTAAAAATGAACTGTATGTGCGTGGTAATGAATCCAAAGGCCCGATGTTAAAGGATATGAGAAAAAGGATGTAATAACGTCCCACACCCACTTCTGGGCACCCCCCACATTTGGGTGTTACGGCCAGCTAACTGACAGTGGGTTTGTGTTAACAGTAAGCCAGGGATTGACAACAGTAACAGTCGTTCTGGGGTCTGGTCGATTGAATCGTAGATCTTCAAAGGTCTTGGTGATCAGTCAAGGCCTCAACAAGAGTCGTAGAGTAGTCGTCACTTAGGTATAGCTGAAAGTACCGGTTAGGGTAATCACAAAGTTGATTGCTGAAGAACTAGGAAAGGTAGGACTCGAGAGGACTCGAGTCCCAACTATATACAAGTCTGGTTCCATGCTGAACACTTCCTGATCCTGGGGGACCGACACCCAGGACGTCGGTCCATCGCCATGGACCGCCCTTGGCACCGTCGGTCCTGTCCCAGGACCGCTTATCGTCCGTCGGTCCTGCTTATCGTCACGTGACCTGTATCCTAGTTCTTCCGTTCCGTGGGGGTTGTTACGACGTAACGGCTGACGGCCGTCCCTATAACCGCTGAGCCCCTGCGGGAAAAACATCAACAACAGCGAGAACGAAATTTTTGAAAATCGGAGCAAAAACGGCCCCAAATACGCGTGCTCGCGGCCACAGAGCCCCCTTCGATGCAATGCCATCCTCGGCCTTGATTCTACGTCCCAAAGGGGCCCAAGATGGCCGCAGAGCACGCCCCGACTACAATGAAAAACTTGAGAGCAAGCCGCAAAATACGACATATCAATAGACAACACTGTTACCACCACCACAGGCGAGCCACAAGCCGCTACACGAAGCACTAAGACTGCGCCCAAACAATCAACTTCAACACAACAGCCGCCGACAGGTTTTGGGTCACCTGTCACCCCCGACAAAGTTTGCAACGTCCCACAACGACGAAGATGAGTCCGACAGAACAGTATCACCTTCCGCACGGAGAAAGCACCAGGCATTAGGCATGCTACGATCGATGCCACACAATACTACAGACCACAGACAGACTGGTCCCCTGTCGCCCCTTTTGCGAAGAAGGATTGGTGTCCCTTCAACGCGCGACAATGTCTGCGGAATCTGTGCGGGAGCTCTCATACCTAGTAATCGAACATGTCGGAGTCAGTGGAGCATTGTGCTTCGTGGAAGACCCTTGGGCCAATGTGGTGGAGGGCAATAGTGGTCAACAGGCAAGAAACAAGAGGCCACATAGGAACCCGGCAGGAGGCAACAAAGAATTTACAGATGCAACTGAGAAAACGGCACATACAAGTCCGGGAGGATACGGACAAAACAAAGAGACAAAGCTGAGCGCTGGGGGGAGACTGTAGGTACAAAGAACCAGATACGGTGCTACCAGCACCAACTGAACCGAAGCAGGAGGACGCAAAACAAGCATTCTAGAGAGCAACACAAAAGCGAGAAAGCAGACAGGAGAGCAACACACTTCTTCAACAGAGGGCACAAACACACAGAATAGAGAACATAGTGGGGAGCTTGGGGATAGCTGGCCCTGATGCAACATCAGGGCGAAGTGGGGCGTCGCTGTTCATTGTCGACGCTTCGGCTACCTGCCAAACCCCGCTTTCCGGGCATAGCTGCTGGCATAAGAGCGGCTTCATAACCGAGTAGGAATAAATCAATCAATCAATCATGAGCCCCTGCGGGGTCGTCGTCAGTGGTCTGTTAACTGTCGGGTCGTAACATCAGCTCCCCTCTTAAAGGTCTTGTCCTCGAGACCTGAGTATAGGTAGGTCGTTGGTCCCAGGTTGGGGATCCACAAATTTGCTTCCTTTGTTTTTCATGATGCCGACACCATGTCAGGTCGCGTTCGAAAGACAAAGTCGTACTTGACTATGATAAAAGATCGTGAGAGAGCTGCGCTTATTGAATACGTGGAGTCCCGATCGATTGCTAGCGACATGCCTTGCACTCGTTGTTTCCGTGCAAAGGTCCCGTGTCGTTTTGGCGAGAAGTCTACACGCTGTAGGACTTGCATCGAGGCGAAGAAACCTTGTGACGGCGTCCTCGTGGCGTCTACTCGTAAGTCGTGTTTTTGTGTTTTCGCTGTTCTGGGGGTTGCTAATGTTTGCTTCTAGTTCAGAAGTTGAACTCTCAGCAAAAGGAGTGGGATGAGAAAGAAGAGAAAGCGGGTGAGGAGCTATTCGCGCTTCATCAAGAGTTTGCTCGTTTGCAAGTTCAAATGGCGGATGCTGCGGGTTGTCTGAAACGGATTCGGACGGTCCGTAAGATGGTTCGGGAGCGGCAGACCGAAGTTTTTGAGCGTGGTATGCAGGAGGTTGACAGGGAGGATGGCGTCCTGGCGGACGACGAAGTCCTACCTGCCTTGGATGCTTACGAGAGGTTCGTCGTTAGTGACCTCCAGGCAGTGGGTCTCGGGAATGATCCTCCTTGGTCCCTTTTTGGTTTTGGTGACGAGTTTGTGGGTTTGGGTCCTCTGGTAGATGGCGCGGGTGCGGGGAGTGTTGGAGGTTCCTCGGCTACTCAGGGCTAGGTGTTCCTAGGCGAAGAAACGTTTTGTTGCCCTGGGGTTTCTTGGTTGGTCGAAACTTGGGTTGAGGGTTTCTGACGCGAGGGTTGTGTGTTGGTCTTTGCATGACTTTGGCGTGCTGTCGTGTTTCCCATTGCGTCCAGTATTCTTGAAGTTCCTCTTGTGCGTGCTCCAAGTTTGATGCGGGTTCCCATGTGTTTTCTTCGTGTCCGTAGTTTTTCTACTTGATTAGGTATTGTATTTCTGTGTCATCGTGCTGATCGATGTGATCGAGGATCCTTTCGACCTCGTAGTCCTGTTCCGGGTCGACTTCGATGTAGTCTATAGTTCGTGATCCTTTTGGTGCTGGCTCGAGAAGTGAAATATGAAAAACTGGATGATACTTTATAGTGTCTGGTAGTGCGAGTTTGAAGTTGACGTTGGATACCTTCTTCGTGATTTCGAAGGGTCTAAGTTTCTTGAAGTCTAACTTATCGCTTGGTCGTTTTGTTTTGATGTTCCGGCGGAGAAGGTATGCGCTATCCCCCTCCTTTAGAGTTGGTCCCTCAACTCTTGTCTTGTCAGCGTATTTGCGCATGCGTTCGCGTATAAATTCAAGGTCTCTAGGAAGATCTCGTTGGATTTCCTTGAGTTTGTTGATATCTGCCATAGCTTTCAGAGCTGTTAGGCCTTGTCGGGGTTGTCTATAGGCTGTCGGGTTGAATCCGTAGTTTAAGTAGAATGGTGATTCTTTTGTACTTTCTCCTACTGCGCTGTTGTAGGCGAACTAGGCCATAGGTAGCAGTTGGACCCAGTTGTTTTGCTGATAGTTGACGTAGCAGCGTAGGTAGGTTTCCATGATCTGATTGATTCGTTCTGTCTGGCCATCGGTTTGCGGATGGAAAGCGGTGGACATCTTGTGGTCAGATCCTAGCTGCGAGATCAGGGATCTCCAAAACTTGGAAGTGAACAGCTTGTCTCTGTCGGATACGATTTCCTTCGGCATTCCGTGTTGGCTTACGATCACCTGCAGAAACTTGTAGGCGAGGTCTTCTGCAGTGCTTGACTCCATGTACGGAATGAAGTATGAGTACTTTGTGAGTCTGTCGACGATGACGAGGACACTGTCGTAGTGGACGTTGGTCATCGGTTCTCGGGACTTAGGTAACTTAGTGACGAAGTCCAGCGAGATGGATTCCTATGCGGTTTGCGGCACTAGGAGCGGCTGTATCTTTCCATAAGGCTGATGTCGGCTGGGTTTGCTTTTTGCGCAAACCTCACAGTCCTTAATCGCTAAAGATACTTCTTGTCGTGTAGCCGTTTTGTCGTAGTGTTGACGGATGCGTTTCCACGTTTTGGTTACGCCTTGGTGACTATGTGCGGGTGCGGAGTGTATCTCCCTAATGGCTTCAGGAGACATCCTTCCAGGCGTGCTGGTACTGTCTCTTCTGGCCATCATTAAGAGTCTGGCTGCTGGCACAAGGTCTCCGTTTTTGTCTGTTTTGAGGATAACTCGGGTTTCCTCAGGTACCTGGACCTCGTGGTCCGGTCGTCGGCTGAGGGCGTCGGCCCTGCCGTTCTCCTTGCCCTTCTGGTAGATGATTCTGAAATTGAATTCTGATAAGAATTCGGACCATCGAATTTGTCGTTTGTTGAGATCTTTCGATGTGGTGAAGTGTGCGAGGTTCTTGTGGTCGGTGTATACTTTGACCTCGTACTTGGTTCCTGAGAGTTGCGGTCTCCATTCTTTGAATGCCTCGATAATTGCCATAAGTTCCTTGTCGTGTATCTGGTAGTTGAGTTCTGGGCCGTGTAACTTGCGTGAGAAGAAGGCGCAAGGGTGTAGTCGTCCTTCGTCGTCTCGTTGGCCTAGTTGTCCTCCTATAGCGTAGTCTGAGGAGTCGGTCTCGACTTCGAATGGTTTCTCGGGGTTTGGTATAACAAGTATTGGTTCCGATGTGACTTGTTGTTTGATCTCGTTGAAGGCTTGTTCTTGTTCTTCTTCCCATTGCCAGGGAACATCTTTCTTCGAGAGTCTCGTGAGAGGGTCGTTTTTGTCTGAGTACCCTTCTAGGAAC